GAATTAATATACCAGATATGTGTATCTGACTGGTTTAAGCATTAAAGTAAATGAAGTGCTCATATACTAGGAAAAAACATGTATGGTGCTTTGCTACATAGTGCTAGCTGGAAAAGTAATTCTTTGCAGTCAGAGAACTAACAGAGAAGCTTAAAATACAGAGGTTGAAGAGTCTGGCTTCAAAAGCCAGAGTACCTTAGTGATGGACTGCAGTCTGCAGGGGAGGGAAGTAGCTGCAGAAGCACTTGGATGGAGGGGTTGTGTCCAGCCATGTTAGCTGGCCAGATGTGGCTGCTTAAGCGAAGGGAAAAAGCTCCTGCTACTTAAAAACACACGCACACATCCCCCAAAAGAATATGGGAAAGAATATAAGCTCCTCTGTGAGGACTGCAGTGGAACTTGAGCATGTGCCTGCTTGGAGCTCAGATGGTTTCTTATTTGGGATAGCTTTTATCAGCTGAATTGATGGGATTATTTCCTTCTTAATGTTGTATTCCAGGTTTCTTTGTTGAGACTGGACTGAAGAAAGGGGATTCTGTGTTTGTTGTGCTTGGAAAAAAAGGATTTTGGTGTAAAATTATTCCCCCAGAATATCAATCTAAAAATGAACGGGTGATTCGCATCGCTCCTCCTATGAGTGGAATCTGCTGCCGTTCCACCCTGCTTCCTGTAGTTTGTTTTTCTGCTTGAAGTGGAAAACTTTGGTCCTTGTTTTGGGAAGCTCCCTGGTGGTGTTAGGAACTCCAGTGAATTTTGTGTGTTTCTGTAGGCATTTGAAACAGGCCCATAGTGCTGTGGGACACAAGTTAGGCTGTGTTTTACACACACTTGAGCTTCATGGGAGGGAAATGGAAATGCTTGTAGGGAGTGGAAACTGCGCCATGTGTGGAATCATAGAATCACAGAGTGGTTTGGGTTGGAAAGGACCTTAAGATCATCCAGTTCCAACCCCCTGCCATGAGCAGGGACACCTCACACTAAATCATCTCACCCAAGGCTCTGTTCAACCTGGCCTTGAACACTGCCAGGGATGGAGCATTTACCCCTTCTTTGGACAGCTTGTGCCAGTGCCTCACAGCAAAGAACTTCTTCCTTGTATCTAACCTGAACTTCCCCTGTTTCAGTTTAAACCCATCACCCCTTGTCCTATCACTACAGTCCCTAATGAAGAGTCCCTCCCCAGCATCCTTGTAGCCCCCCTTCAGATACTGGAAGGCTGCTCTGAGGTCTCCACGCAGCTTCTCTTCTCCAGGCTGAACAGCCCCAACTTTCTCAGCCTGTATTTGAATGTCTTAGCCTGTGTATTGAATGGGCTGTGGGCTACAGATGTGGGGCAGGTTCCTAGGTGTTTAGTGACCTTGATGAAGAAGTAAATACCTTGAGTCTTCTGATGCCGTGCTCTGAGAAGACATCTCATTAGCAGCTGCAGAATTGGGCACCTCAAGTATAACTCTCTTCTCCTCAAGTATAACTCCCTTCTTATACACGGATGTAGCTTTAGGTCCATGGGATATTTGGAAATGTGAGTAGTCCAGCTGCTCTTACGGGCACTGCCAGTTATGTTTTGTTGCTTCCTTTGTATTCAGGTCAAGGTCTCTTCTGTGTTGTTAATGCAGCACATGGAGGTCCTAATTGGTAGCAGGAGAATTCTTATACAAGCCTATGTAGGCAAAGCAGGAATTTGTTGTTAATTAATGTGAGGGTTGCTTATGAGTGAGGAGACTTTGCTTTTCTGTCAGCTGTTGGAAAAACACTTGTTTGGTGTAGCAGTGAGACCTGTTACAGCATTATCCAGGGCTCAGTCTATGAGTAGTCCTCACAACACATCGCTAGTGTGTGTTATTCCTCATTCTGTGCTGTACCTGCTTCCAGGCATGGCTGGTCCATACTCTCTACCCTCATTTTCTGGTGAAACTCCCATGGTGAGACCTGCTGTCCTCTTGCCCCAGCCACTCAAAGCATCACATTTTTGTGCTATTTAAAGTAAACGAAGAGTTGAGACTCTTTAAAACACTATGAGATGATGGCAATGGGACAGAACCATGGCAAAACCAACACACTCCATCAAGAGGGCTTAACTTTGGCTGCATTTTGCTTCTGAGCTGCTGTGTTTGAAGAGGGGGAGAGGAGGGAGCAGCGCAGCAAACTGCTCCCAGCAGAGTTGCTGTGGTGGTTTAAGAACATACCTTGCACAGGTAGTGTTCAGTGCAGCATTTCACTCCTGCTTTGGGCACTTCTGTGCTGGGCAGGCCACAGGTTGCCTGGTGCATTTCCCATAACAAACTGGATTTTAAAGTAAGTAGGGATTTTGCTTTCCTCTGCCTGTGCCATTACTGGGAAGCTGAGATGTTACCATACAGATGTGTCCAACATGACAGTGTTTTCCCAATTACAGCTGGTGTAGTCGTAGGCCTTTAGAAAACTATTTGCTTTCTGGTTTTCACAGTATGTTCTTTAAGTCTTCATTAGAGAATCTTTTAACTATTCTTCTTAGTATCATTTCTGCTGCTGAATTTACTCTCAAGAATTAGGTTGGTTTTCCTCTTGCAGTATCTCAGAAATGGGGCACAAACACTTTTTCCTCCAAGACGGGGATTTCTCACTAGGAATTGTGGATTGAGAGCTTTCATCTCGAGGTGAGCAGTTTGGGGCATCTCCAAGTGGCATTGCCTCACCTAAATGCTGATCTCTCAACTCTGCGAGATCCACGCATGGAGTCACTCGTCACTTCCATAGCTCACCACCAGTGGGATTAATGCTGTTCTCACTGGAGAAGATGCAGAGCCTCAAATGCTGCTTTAGGTGTTTTTTGAAGGATGAAGAGTAGAAATCAGGCTTCTGATAGAAATTGTTTCTTGATGTGTTAATTCAGTAGTTTGGTGAATGAAAGAACTTGTTTGAATTGATCATACCTTGAACTTGAGGTGTTTTTCTAGTAATAGTATTCGACTCCTATAGTGCTCTGCCATTATCATAGAATCCCAGCCTGGTTTGTGTTGGAAGGGATCTTAAAGCTCCTCCAGCTCCAACCCCTGCCACGGGCAGGGACACCTTCCACTGGAGCAGCTTGCTCCAAGCCCCTGTGTCCAACCTGGCCTTGAGCACTGCCAGGGATGGGGCAGCCACAGCTTCTCTGGGCACCCTGTGCCAGCGCCTCAGCACCCTCACAGGGAAGAGCTTCTGCCTAAGAGCTCAGTCTACCCTCTGCAGGTTAAAGCCATTCCCCTTGGCCTGTCCCTACAGACCCTTGTCCCAAGCCCCTCTCCAGGTTTCTTGCAGCCCCTTTAGGCACTGGAGCTGCTCTAAGGTCTCCCCTTCAGGAGCCTTCTCTTGTCCAGGCTGACCCAGCCCAGCTCTCTCAGCCTGGCTCCAGAGCAGAGCTGCTCCAGCCCTCACAGCATCTTCATTTAAACATCTTTATTTCAGCTTCCACATACCTAGAAGAGAATTGTAGTGTAAAGAACTCGTGACCTTACCAGTGTGCCTCAAAGGGGTGAGATATTTCACACTGATGTGGTTGAGCAAAGGATTCCTGGTGTTGGTACCAAGAGGCACTGCAGGCACTATGGCATCATCATGTGGAGGGGTTGGTGATCATGTCCAAATCAGCAGGACTCAAGTTACTTTTGCTGCTTTCCATCCGAAGTTTTCCTGATAACCATTACTGGGAAACACCAGCCCTGCTGAGAAGATCTTCTTATCATATGGCCTCACTATATATGTCTGTCCTAACAGACATTCTTACTAAGGCCTTTAAGTATTGACACTTAGTTTCCCATTTAAAATACTGATTTATCCTGGAACATTAGAGCTGCCCAGACTTTGTTTAAGGCAGAGAAGTTAATTTGATTGGAGATGGATAAATTGTTTTCTTCATTAGTTTGGTTTTATTGCTCCAAAGCCAAATGGGTTTTTCACTCCCCTGAAGAATGCCAGACCTGAACTGCTGCATTCTTTGCCCCTGGCTGCAGGCATGGAGTAAATATAGCACCTTTGGGTGAGGCCAATCAGCTGAGGATGAATAATCGTGTCATTCATCTGGCTTTTGTTAGGAATTGAGATGGGGTTTTAAGCTTAATGGTGTAGGACTCTTTTTCTGGAGCTCTTCAAATAGCTTCTGGATAGCTCAGTGGTACTGTCCTGTGTGGAGAGCAGGAGACAAAATTGCCTGGTTTTGATAATGCTGCCTACTAGCAGGAAGGCATCTGCTCGTGTATTATTTCCTAATAAATGAGCTGAGTTAACCTGTTTGTCATGAATTCAGGGTTTGGGCAATATAACTATTGCAGTGTACTTTCCTTGGAAGCATTTCTACTGTAGGTGTGGCTGCATGTAACTGCATCCCCTTTTCTCTGAGGGCAAGCTCATCTCAACTCTTGACTCCAGTGAGAGGACAGCTCTGGCTGCGAGGGGTCCCTTGCTTACACCAGTAGGAATGAGTGAGTGCAGTGAGTTGCATCCTTAGCTGTGAGCAGTCTAGACCCGATCTCAGCTGATGGAGCTAACTGATTAACCTCCCTTTTCATCCTTTTCATTGCTCATTCTCTCCCTGGTTCAATCCAACAGTGTTTGAGAACAAGTGCTGTGCCTTGTGTCCCGTTTTATACATCCTCAGGTGCAACATGCTGCGCGAAGTAATAGACTCAGCTTTGTGAGGTTTGTCCTTCTTATAGGCAATCTAAAAGTGTAGTCTGAGAGCAAACTTTCCTGCTCCTCCTATGCCTCAGCAAGTGTAAGAGTATAAAAGTCAAAGAACTTTGGCATTTAACCTCTTTTCCTGGTTTCCTGTCATAGAATGACATATAGTCCAAGGGCTACGGAGCACTGGGAGTGTATGCTTCACCTGAAAATACGCCATTCACAGCCAGTGCTCCTTTGAACTCTGCTTTCAAATGGTACCTTGCTAATTGGTCTTTTCTAGTTGTAGTATTTTTGTGTATTACAACAGGATGTAAAACTTACTGCTCTCTCTAAACTCTGGTACTTGTTTTCCTTTGCAGAATAAAAGAGTGCAGAGAGGCTGGAGGGACAGGGGAGAGCACGGTACGATGCTGCTGAGAGGAATCTGAGCCACAGAGCATGCTTCGTGCTGCAGGGACCCAGGTACGCTCCAGCCAGCAGAGCACTGTGCACCTCCAGGGAACCAAAGCTGGTTGTGCTTGGTACTTATCCCGAGCTAAGGAGACTGTCTCAGCAGCAGGCCAGAACTCTGCCCTGATTTGATTGTGCCGTCTGAATGGCACTTAGAGTCTGAAACCTCCTAAAATAAAATTGCAAATAAATACAATTTTGGGGATGAGCATTGAAAACCTTCATTTAGATGCAGCTCAGTGCTGCCTGCTCATATGCTTATGCTAAAGAAAGATACCCAGGAGGTAAAGATGTGCTGTATGTGATGGAGTCTAGGATCTTTCAGAAGCAGTGCTGTGACCTGGGAGCCATCCCAATCCAGTCACACTGTCTTATAGCTCTGACTAAATGGAAATCAAATGACTGTGAAGTGTTCCTGTGGAACAGAAGTTAACTCTTCTGCGAGCACCAGCTGGCAAGTGGGAGTAGAGAAACAAAGCAAACAGCAGAGAAAAGTAGGAGGGACAATAGTGGCAGTCTGAAAACTGACACATTAGGAGACCAGCATGAAGAATAACAAACTCGTGTCACAGGATGTTTTGCATGGCAACAAGACTCTTGTCTGCAAGTGGACTTTCGTGTAACTGCAGCACTTGCTTCCTGTATGAGATAAAGAGCTGTTGTACTCTGAATGCATTTTAATCTCTCTATCTAAATTGGACTAATAATTAAAAAGAACCAGCTGAAGGAAACAATAGTGAATTCTATTGCTCCTGAAAGTGTTTCCTTTGATTTTGCTGTCAGAGGAATGAGAACAGAAACATGCCTAAAGGAAACAGATTAAAGGTGAACTTTTTCCCCAGGTGCTGAATGCTGTCTACAAACTGCTTTGTCGATGAAGGAAGAAACTGATTGGGAATTGAAAGCACAAACTAGTTTGTGATCCTGTTCAACATGCGCAAAGGGGTGCCAAAGGACCCGGAAATAGCTGACCTCTTCTACAAAGATGATCCTGAAGAAATATTTGTGGGTTTACATGAAATTGGACATGGAAGCTTTGGAGCCGTTTACTTTGTGAGTATAGTTCTTGACCTCCTTTGTGGAAAACAAGGAAGCAGTGCATGTGTGTTTAGAAGGATAACTATATAGTTCCTTAATGTGTAATCCGGTAGAAATGATTCTAAACAGGAGGAGAGGGGGGTGTGTCCTGCCGTTGGGATTGATGACAGTGGGACAGGCACTTCTAGATGTTAGAGTGACATGTTGGTGAAAGTATAATGTTAAATATACTACGTGTGTAAGAGGATGAGGCTGAGGAGCTTGCAATGCATGTTGATCCACTCCATAAGAGGAGCAAGCAGGTTTTTAGATGGAGTAGGGAGGAAGTAGGCAGTGTTTTCCAAAAGCAAACAGTTATGTTTTAGGGTAAAGGTGAAGTAGTGAAGGTGCCACCTTTGGTGTTCTGAAGTTCCTCATGCTTCCAGGGGAAGAGCATGAGGTATGTCAGAGGTCCAGCCCCCCAACAGCTTACAACTGAGAGGCCACTATGGTTAGGCAGAGTACTTGTGATTCCCCAGTGCTTCTCTTCCTCCTTTCCCTGGATGCTTTAACTGGTCCATGCCTTGAACACCTTAGAGCATTTAGCCAGACTGCAGCTTCCTGCAGTACACTTGCAGCACTGCATCCTCCAAGCCTGATGGTTATTGCAGTTAGTAGTAATCTTACTGTAGTAAGCTTAGAGTAGCCTGTAGTAATCTTACTGTAGTAACACAGCAATTAGATGCATCACCACTTTCCTGTGATACATCCACACCTCTTTGCCACTGTTTGAAGCTTAAACTTTCTTTCCTGTTGCAGAAAGCATTTGGTATTCAGTAAATTGTTCTTTGGTGTCTTATCCCAGGATCCATTCTTTCACCTGAGGAAGGCCTCCAGCTCTACCCTGCTTTCTACAGGTCAGGCCAGAGCTCTTCCCTGGCACACAGGGATGCTGTCCACCTTTGGTTTGGTTTTCCTCCTTTTAAATGGCTTTTGTAGCCTGTCCTACATCTTGATTCTTATGCATCTTATATATGTAAGGCAGGGGCTGAGAATACGATCTCTGATCATCGTGGTAAGATTACAGGGATCCTGATGTGCTTGGAATCAAAAGAGGAAAATAGGTTAAAAAAAAAAACCACCTTTGAAGGAACAGGGCTTTGTAAATCATCCAGAACAATGGGAAAGCAACATCAGATGCATATAAAGAGGCAGGGCAAGGATTATTATGCTGTTGCTGCATCTTGTTGCCTTTCTCTTTAGATTGGTATTGACACTAGGAGATGCATAGATGCGTATCTTGTCACTGCTGTTGTGGATTAATATGGTTATTCTAGTATAAACTTCAATGTAAGCTCCATTTTTGCAAGCTGTTTTGTTTTCCTGTGTACTATTGCCAAGGCTTGGCAAGATGGTTTGGAACTGCCTTTCTTGCTTGGAAGAAATACCTCACATAGCAGAGAGCTAAGAAAAGAATACATTAGTCCTTGCAGAGTTTTAAAGCTGATGCTGACTGGCCTTGAAATCAACTAATTTCAGATTTGACTTGAGAAAAAGAGTTTTCCTCAAAGCCAGCCTACTTATATCCATGTTAGGGATACAGAAGAGTGATAAAGCAGATGAGGGCAGTGGAAAGGACGTTTTGCAAGCGAAATGTGCTTGTTTTCTGCCAAGCTTTTCATTAAAGATCTACAAGTATGGCCAAAAGCACTTCAGCAGGTGGATGTTTCTGTCAAGTGTGCTTGTACAGCCCTTTGAGTTATTTCAGCCAAGAGGATCCCAAGCACTTGGTACAGCAGGAACTTCACCCACACCTATGAGAGCATGTAACAGCCAGAAGTACTTGGAAATTCCTTTGGAATACCAGCATGAATTCATCTATTTGAGTAAAATACTCCTGTTCTTTTAGGTGCTGAATCAAGATGGTGAGTGGTTGGGAAGGGTTTTGCCTTATCCAAAAGTGACTTGTTTTCAGCTTTCTCTAACTCATGTGGGGAAGAGTGTGCATTGCCAAGAGTAAATGTGTTAACACCCTCTAGTAATTCCTGAGCTCTCTTGCTTCACCCAACATCATTTTTCTTTGAAGTCACTGTATATCTCATGAAATGTCTTCCATTAAGCCATTCCTTGAAAGTACAATACTCATCCTCTCAAGCAGCTGAAAGAAGGATTTACCACATTTAGCTTCTGTTGTATTCTAAGCTTTTAACTGTCACTAACTTTTTGTCCCCAGTATGGTGACAGGTTGGAGGTACAGGGTTTTCAGCAGCTCTTTAAAGACTAAAACCTTCAAGCTTTCTGTCCCTAACATGCAGAAACGAGGGCAGTGCCTATCCAAGCTAGTAGAGCTCATTCTAAAACTGACTTTTCAGCTTCCTGTCACCATCCGTGTATCATCCAGGCTGTAGAAAAGTGTGATGGTAGAGGCATATTCATTGCAAAACTGAGAGCTGGTGAAAGGAAAGTTGCTTCTTCGAACTGAGATAAATCCCATAATGAGGCATCCTCTTGAAACTGAGAAGTCAAATAGCTGTTTAAGAATATCAGTGTTGTATGAGGGTTTTGGATGAAATGGTAGAGATTTTGATACACCACTTCATTTATTTCTTTGGAAATCACTTTCCCAAAGGTTTATCTAAAACTGTACTTATTGCAGTTCCAATAAACTGTGTTTTGCATGTTCTCAGGAGGTGCAATATTGGGCCTTGGTTTGGGTGTCAATAGAGAGGTAGCAAGTGCAGTGAGGGCTGAGGGAGGAGCAGTAGGTATGGACAGATGGGTAAAGTCAGGGAAAAGTGTCCTAATAGCTGGCTGCTGAATCTTATGGCAAGGAAGATGTCTCTGAAGTGGGGATGCAAACAGCATGCAGTTGCCAAGGCACAGCTCGCTCCATGGGGAGGACAAAAAAGAAAGTCCTTTCAATGTGTTTCTTTCTCCCTTTTCCAGGCTACAAATTCCCACACGAACGAGGTGGTGGCAGTCAAGAAGATGTCCTACAGTGGAAAGCAGACAAATGAGGTAAAGAGGAATAAAGATAATTCTGAATGCAGAAGCTGTTGTAACCATCATGTAAATCTGAACATTGGGATTAGCTGTGCATTTCCTGTGACCATGGCAGGACAGCATTTTAATGTGGGAGTGTTGCTCTCTTCTGTAGAAAGCATGGGGGGGAAATGAGTTGATGCAGATTTTGACAGTTTAAGGCAGGGAATGGGAATTCAGAATGCTGCTATGATGGTTTATGCAGTAATAATTTCATTACTGAGTGCATTAAGAGCTGCTGGAACCATAGCCACAACTCTCCAGCTGAAATGTTCAGCTGACTTGAAACGCATTTCAGGATCTATGATCTAAAGTTGCATAGACCTTGTATTCAGAATATCAGGCTCACTTCAGCTGTTGCTTGTTAGATGCTCCCCTTATTTTTGTGTTGGATTGCCCTTGTTCAGTCAGACTGTGTTGGCATGCAGTGGAGAATGTGTTTCTTAAGAGCAAACAGGGATGTTTAAATTCATTTTTCCTTGCTTACCTCTTGGTCTCCCACATATGCTGAGGTGTTAACACCCTCTAGTAATTCCTGAGCTCTCTTGCTTCACCCAGCATCATTTTTCTTTGAAGCCACTGTATATATCATGAAATGTCTTCCATTAAGCCATTACTTGAAAGTATAGTACTCATCCTCTCAAGACTGTCAGTGGCTTTGTGCTGTGCTATAGAAGGAAGAGAATAGAGGGAGTGAAAGAGTACCATAAGGATGCAGACAACTGATGTATGCTTGTGCTTTTGCAGCTCTGACTCTTACTATCTTCACATTGTCAAATAGTTTTATGGCTGCTTTTCAGACTGTACTACAGTGTGTAGTGTATGAGTATGTAAGGGGTTAAGCAGAGAATGTATTTATATCTTTCTGCCTTTCTGTTTTACTAGAAATGGCAGGATATCATCAAAGAAGTCAAGTTTCTACAGCAGTTGAAGCACCCCAACACCATAGAGTATAAGGGCTGTTACCTGAAGGAGCATACAGCATGGGTGAGTGATGTGGCATTTGGAGGTCTTCATGAGCAGGAAATGGACAGAACAGCAATCAGATACTCAGCAGACACAGTGGTTTTTGCATGCAGCAGTAGGCATCCCATGCTGCCTGTAGTCCCTTTCATCTGAAGAATCTTCCAGGGAATTGAAAGGGAGTAGATATTTAGGATATGGGAATAAATCCTGGCTTCTCTGAGGCAGGCCTCTGTTCCTGCAGATTAAATAAGTATTATGGGACATCTTTGCAGTATCTCACCACAAACTTGTCAGTGCCTAAGCCTTTACAAGAATGTTTTTACAAGGTGGAATGTTTGGAGCTTTTTATTTTGTTCATCACTTGTTGCATTTCTTGCAACTTCAGGTTTGATTTGCTGCTTCTGTTTGGCAACCACTCAGGTAGTAACTGCTTGGGGGGCAGTGTCTACCCTGTTGTTTAAAAGCATGCTTTTTCTTGCAGCTGGTTATGGAGTACTGTTTAGGATCAGCTTCTGATTTGCTAGAGGGTAAGTTTTATATAGTCTTTGGTTTTCTGTTTGCTGGTGCCCCTTCTGAGTATAGTGGGAGGCTGTTTTCTCACAGACTGGTATTGTGCAGATGGTAGAGGCAGTCTGTCTGCACTACTCCATTCTGCTGCTAGAATGCCTATGTTTGTGATACTGAGGGTAAGCTGAGACTTTCTCAGGAGGCCAGTGCTACGTATAGTTGGCACGCACATTTATGTGTTGTAAAATGAAGGTGTGAATGTATATAGCTGTGTTCCTGTAATCTGTGCCTTCGAGATGACTGAACCAGGCTGGCTGTTTTCTGAATACCCATAACAAAAACCTGCAGAGATCACTTTTGTCCTTGCCTTGCAGTTTGGAGGAATAATTACAGATGGGTTTATGGAACAAGAAACTGATACGACCTCAAAACTAGAACAGCAGCACCTGCAGAGGAGCAGGGAATCTAAGCCAAACTGGTCCTCTTTGTGAGCCATATATTTTGTATCAAAGATGTGGTCAGCCAAAGACACATGCCGGTCATATTTAGGCATATATGGAAGCTTTGGGGCATCTCTTTTATAGCTGGTGTTCCTCATTTTTCTGGTTTTTTGGCTACTGGGGGGAAGCCAGCAGGAAGCTTTCCTTTCTAAGCATCAAATGAGCATTTCAGATACATTGGCAAGCTGCACTTAGCCATACCTCCTGGTATTAACAGTTGGCCCTAGCAGGAATGTGAAGAAAACCTTGGTTTCCTATGCTGTGAAATACACAGGCTGTGATAGACTTGAACTAATGGCCATCAGGAAACTAGTCTGGTGATGATGCTCACCTCCAGCTGCAAACTTGGCAGGGTTTCTTCTCTTTAAAAGCACTTTCTCAATAAAAGATCACTCCTACTTATGACTTTTCTTAATCTTTTTCCCCCTAGTTCACAAGAAACCACTTCAGGAAGTGGAGATTGCTGCCATCACCCATGGTGCCTTGCAGGGGCTGGCCTACCTGCACTCTCATTGCAAGATCCATAGGTGAGCCTAGAGCTTGGTGCTGCTCCATGTCCTTCCATCTTCCCCTCTGGAGTCTGCAAATTGCTCTGCTGTGTTTAAGCAACTTTGGTAAAGGTTGTTCTATCTAAAGTTTCTCTAATAGACAAGTCAGTACTCCTAATGGTAGGGTAGATGTGGAGCTAAAAGCTGTTGTTAAGGAGCGTGGCTGTGTTTGTTTCAGTAACTCCATGTGGCTATATCTTGTGCTGAGTTCTCTTCCATGTTAGCAGTTTTTCTCTGCAGACACTAGGAACAAAGAATATACCTGAATCATGGCAGCAAACACTGGCAGGAAAATATCCCCCTCAATTTGCCAAATAAAGAGGAGTGATAAAGCTGGTCTGGTCTCAAAACTAGACATTGTGAGAAGCTTTACATGGGAGTAAGTAAAATTTGATGCTTTTAGAAATCAGTCAATGAAAGCATAAGGAGTAAAACCTCCGTGGGAGAAATTGGAGCACACAGGTAGAAGATTCGTATAGGAGCCTGCTCATGGAGGCAGTTCCCTCATTTGTCTTTCATAAGGGGGTGTTTTTCAGGAGTTTAGCTGTATTTTTTTTGACTGCTATGTCAGTAATGCGGTACCTTGTCATTTTATGGGGTTTGTTAGTTTGTCTTTGGCTTGTTTGGGTTTCTGTCTAATTTGGTATGTCAGGGCCTTGTGAAATGCCTGAGCACCAGGTTAGTGTAATGAGTGGGGAGTCAACACAATGAGGCAACTTGAGACTAATTCATGGGGCTAAAGGCCTCTATAGGCAAGCCTGAGCCAGAGAACTGGTATATCTGAGGCTGAGGGGAGGGATTTCGAGAGACACAAATTGTTTGTCCCTTGTTAGAATAACTATTTGGGGCATATCTACACGTGGTTAGGAAATCATTTTTAAGTGAAACACTAATTGAAATACAAATGCCAATTTATAAAAGTAAAATAAGATGATTTTTGAGCAGCCCTTTGCAATACATGCTCTTATTTGAGCTTGAAAGTACCTGTTCTGGAATATTTTTCATGCTTTCAGAGTGCATTGAATTGTTATTTATAGGAAATGACTCCCTGTATGGACACTGAGAATTGTTTTTTCTCGATGCTCATTAGGACTTTCGGACATGTGTTGTAAATTCAGCTGTTTCACATCCTGAACACTAGCTGTTCTGTATGAGCTGTTCAGAAGCATGCTTACTGCATACTGGAAACAGAGCTGGCTCTTTCTCTTTCAAACTGGAACAAGTTACTTCGCTATTGCTGCTTGCAGCATAAGGACAGTCACTGCTAGAAGCACTAAGCACATCTTTCCCATGTAGCGACTTTCCTTTCAAGGGGTTTCCTGCCTTTTAACTTGTGAAATGGGATGGCAAGTCCTCTCTTTTAGGAAAAGAGGACCATTGAGAGATTCCTAGTTTCCTGGTAGAAGTTATGCCTTAAAAAGGAGAGGTGAGAGAGCCCTTTTCTAGCTTCCTGGTTTGCTCAGCTGCGCTGGTGGGTGCAGCTACAAGGACAAGGTCCAGCAGCACTCAGAAAAGTAAAGTTGAATGAGAAGGGCTCAAAGCTGGCGGCTGGGACAGCTTTGGTCTCCCTGCCCCACAGCAAGGAATGCGAAACGAGGACCTGGAATGGAGGGACACCTTGTGGAGATGCACGACAGAGCAAGGCTCTCAGCTCTCCTGAGCTCAGTTAGCTCTAACGTTACGCTGTGGGATGGCAAAGGATGAGGTTATGTTATGTTTAATTGCAGGCACAAGACAAAAGCAAAGTTCACAAGTGTGTGTTTGCTGATACCTAACGTGGCTGCCGAGTCCTTTGTAGGTTGCTGTGCAGTGGAGATGGTAGCAAAGGGGATGCCAGTGCTGTGTCTTCTGTACTTTTGAGGTGTTCAGTCTTGCATATACAAGACACCTTTAGCTCTTGTCCTCCAGCAGAACTGGCAGATGCACAGACCCAAAACATGAAGACATGTCAGGATGTATTTGAGTAGCAATAATTCCTTAATGCTAGTTTTGAATGGGAATGAAGGACTAGAGGTTCTTACTCTGGCTGTGCTGCTGCAGTACTGCGAGTACATGTCTGTCCCTGTGGTGAGGGTCTCCTTTTGCAAAAGCCGATATCTTTCCCCATGTAAAGACATCTGTGGTGTACCTCATGTGCAGTTGTCCCTTTGGTATTGAAGTGCTGTATCAGGATTATAAGGAGCTATCACTATACTGTGATTTCAGCTGGCAGCGTGTAGGTAACTTGAATTCCTTTAAGCACTCATTTTTCTGTGTCAGATGTTTGGGATATCACTGACAAGTTTGTCTCAGACCTTGAACAGGGTCATTGCCAAGTGCCTTGGAAGTGATGAGTTAACAGTTCTCAGCATTCCATGGGCAGCTAATTTGGAATTATCTCACTCACTGCAGGAATTGACAAACTTCGGGTGCAGAATGTGTTGTGCCTTTTGTATTTTAGTAGTGTCATTCCTGTTGATCTCTGAAAGGTGGGAATTGCCTGAGAGCTCTAGGAACGCTCACGCATCATTTGAAAGATGAAAACAACCTCTGGTGCTTGTTGTTTAAGGGGGGATCACAGCTGGGGATTAGGATACAGCTCTCCTGGATCCCAGGTTGAAGCTTCAACCTTGCAACCATGGTTCATCTCTTCCTTCTGCCCTTCTTGGGTACAGCCAGGCTTCCATTCCCCAGATCCCATGTATCTGATTTCTCCAGCTTTCTGTAATATTAGACGTCTGAATGTTCTTAGGATTGAGAAGAAATCAATGGGTTTCTCTGGGATTGAAAATCTTTGACTTTACTGTAACCAGAAGTATACTTTCCCCTTTTTGTCTTTTAAAGGGATATTAAAGCTGGAAATATTCTTCTAACAGAACCAGGTCAAGTGAAACTAGCTGATTTTGGGTCTGCATCTATAGTCTCCCCTGCCAATTCTTTTGTGGGAACGCCTTACTGGTGAGTCAGCCTTCAGTACTTCACTCCTTTACCAGACCACTCTCCCATTTCCAGCCTTTTCCAACCTGAAAATCGTACCTGGCATCAAAACTTTATTAACAAGCAGATTTCTTAAAATCCCTATGTCCAGCTCTTCAGGAAGAATGTTCTTCCTCAGGGACCGTAAGTAGAGGCTGTGCAGCACTTTGGAATGGCACCAGTTATTGTTTTGACTGGTATAATGCCATGGGCTTAAAAAATACTAACACGTACCGTAGGTAATGAAACTACGACACGGAGAAAGGGAATCCTGTTAATCTGGCACACTGGATCTACTTAGAATCATAGAATCAGCTGGGTTGGGAAAGACCTTTAAGATCAAGTCCAACCATTTGCCAGCACTGGCAGGCCACCACTAACCCATGGCACTGAAGGCCTCGTCTACATGGTGTGGACAGTGACTGCAGCCCTGCCCTGGGCAGCCTGTTCCAATGCCTGAACACCCTTTGGGGAAGGAATTGTTCCTCATCTCCAGTCTAAACCTCCCCTGTGCAGTTTGAGGCCGTTTCCTCTTGTCCTATTCCTTATTACTTGGGAGAAGGGACTGACCCCCACCTCACTACAACATCCTGTCAGGTAGCTGCAGAGAGCAATAATACTTAAATTGTGTTTGGAAGAAACTTGCTCAAGGGTCACTGCAGTTGCTTGGCATTCCTCACATAGTGGACCAGCATAGCTTTATGCTCCATTTATTTTGTGGCAGATGCCCTGGGCATTGATGAGAGGTCACCAATGGCCTGAGCTCTGAACAAGCCCATTTGGCAGGAAGCCTCCTTCACTGTTGAAGAGTAAAAGTGAAGAGGCTGTATTTTTGCACCCTGGGCCCCCTGCTTCTTCCTGCCTTCCTCTCCCCTCCATCCCATTATCCTGGACCACTGTATTTCCCCACTGTTCCAGATTTCCCTGTTCCTTTCATAGCTACACTTACAGGCTGCATATATCTGCTGGAAAATTCTCCTGGTGTGCCAATGGAAAACCCACCATCTCTGGTGAGAGTACGTGTGATGCCTTTAGGACTCTCCCTGCCCTTGCTGTCTGCCTGCAGGTACAATGCCTTTGAAATTGGTCTGGGTCTCCCATGTGCCAGCATGTGCTAACCCCAAGATGGTCAGGCTAGCCTCTTACTTTCCTTTCTTAAACTGCCTCTTGAAAGAGATGCTAGTGCAGGCAAGCCTTGTTCCATTTCATCATGGCTTTACTCAGCTCCCTGCTGGCTCTTTAAGTTCTGCTGAAGATGATGAAACCATCTCATTTGAAGTTATGTGCTGGGACTCACAGTTTGTAACCCCTAACCCCCATGTTTTGCTCTGTGCTTGGTAGGATGGCACCAGAGGTGATCCTTGCGATGGATGAGGGACAGTACGATGGAAAGGTGGATGTCTGGTCTCTTGGGATCACATGTATTGAGTTAGGTGAGTAAATACTTGGCAAAGTTAATACTTGGATAATTCACTGTCTGCTGTATTGGTTAGGAATCCTGAAAAGCCTGAAGATTCTTATTCCTCATAAGTTTGTTTTGTTTTTTCTTCATAAAGCCTGACTTGGGAAGCACTGACAGTTGAGTTAAATCTTTTACTCACTGGCAAATCATGAGCAAGCCACTGCTGCTGTGTTTTAATGTTATCTGGTGTGATTAGTTTTTCCCGGAAAAACTAGAGGATTCTAGTCTTGTATGAGAGGAAGCTGTGGTCTGTATTTTCCAAGCTGGATTTGGAGAAGGATGTTCCAGCTGTTGTGTCAAGGGCACTGGTGTCCTAAGACTTGTGTGTCACAAGGGCCCTACATTGATTTTTCAATTCCTTTTACTTCCCCACTCTCTGAAACCAAAAATCTTCCATCTCAGCTGAAAGTTTGTGACATGAATCAATGTGAGCAGGTTCTTTACATGAGAAGAAGAGCAGTGCAAAGGGCAAGTGGTAGACACAACCTGAAGCAGATGCAGATGTGAATAGCAGGTATAGAGAGCACATGTGTGCATTTTCAATTTGACTGTTGACATTGCATGTGCTGAGTAGATTATATTCAGAAATAGGTTTGATATGGATTATACTTAGCAGCAGTACAGCAAGAACTTATTGTGAGGGCAAGTGCACCAAAAATGTTATTTATAAAGGTTTAAGCAGCAGAAATACATATAACAAAGAGGGGAACATACAGATTGTTGACTCCAATATGGATATGGTAACGGTGCAGATGAGTACTAACTTCCAGTGTTGTTTTATGTGCCAGCACTAGTGCCTTGCTGCCACAGTCTGTACTTTGATCTAAAGAATACCAAAATCAGAAGTTTTAAACCTCTGTTCTTCCACATGATGTTTATTTGTGTGTGTGTGTGTGTGTGTGTGTTTCAGGTGTGTTACAGCCTCTCAAGGAGTAAATCACAGTAGTAGAACAGATACTACACTACCCTATGTAGGCACTGAGTCTTGATAGCAGAAGTCCAATGGCTCTTTTCCCTCAAGAACCTCAAAGCCATTTTACATAGTTGAGGGGTTTGCTTTTTAATATTACCCTTTTGAGAAGTATTAAACTTCTTCTTTTGAAAGAGCTTTAAACTTTGCCTTTGCGTGAGTCCAAATCTGAATATGGGGTCAGGTAGCAGTGGGAGGAAATGTCTTACTGAGCACCACTTGGCTTTCTTTCAATGCTGATGTCTTAATTTCTTGTGTAGCCAAAAGTAGTGTTTAAAGAAAAGGAAATGTGGTGGTTTGCATGCGTGCTGCAGGTCAAGGACAAGTGATTGCTCTGGCCTGACGTGACCTTAGAAGTCCTGGTGTCGTTGGCTGATGGGCATGACTGAGCTTAGATGGGGAAAACCTACCCTTCCCCATTTCTGTGTGAGCTCTGCTGCACCCCTGCAAGGTCAGGGGCTGGTAGGGATGTGGAAGGACTAGGAAGAAGTTTAGTTAGGGAGAGTGGATGACACATCTGGCAAACTGCCCCACGTGCAGGTGACTGCCAACGCCAAATAAAACAGGCAGCTGCTCTTGCTCTTAATTCAGATGCTACAGCAGCGCACCAGAGATCCAGAGGGATTAATACGTACATTTTCTAGCCCTGATGTGCTGTGTGTCTAAGCTCTGTTCTAGTCAGCTTCTGCTGAATTTACCACAGCAGCTCAGGTGCAAAACGTTGCAGTTAAGGTAAAATTTACTGGAAACTTTTCCTCTACAATTTACATCCTGTTCTCTTTGGATTTCATCATCCCCTCTTCAAGTGAATAGCAGCTTTCCTGGAGTGGTTGTCCTGGTCTAACCTAGAGTATTAAAATAATTAGCTTAAATGTGATGACAACAGTAATGAACTACTCATTGATTTAGCAGTGATACCCTGCTCATACTTCCATATCTTTCTCCTTTTCTTTCCAGACTGCCTTATCACACCTTTCTCTTCTCTTTCCAGCTGAAAGGAAGCCTCCACTTTTCAACATGAATGCAATGAGTGCCTTATATCATATAGCCCAGAACGATTCCCCTACGTTACAGTCAAATGAATGGTAAGAGAGCTATTACCAGATATTCTTTGTTTTACTTCCCTGAAAAAGCTCTGTGACATTCTGCATGATTAAAGTCTGACAAGAAAAGTGTTTGTTGCAGGGTAGTGATTTGACTGTGTTCTCAGAAATGCTCCTGTGTAGGCAGGTTCAATTTTGACCTTCTGTCACTTTGGCTATGCTACAATCTAAATGTGTGGAGGTGTTAATTATGGGGCTGTAGATGCTGTAGGAATTACAGTCTTCTTGGATGCATTAAACCCGCTGTAGCTCAGCATCAGCAAAGTTCGCAGCTGCACAAGATCCCTGACAGAATTATTAGCATTGTGGTGCAGCTGAAATGTGGAGAGAAGGGAAGAGGGATGCAGATTATAGAGGTAATTAGATTTCTTTCTTTTTTTTCAGTGAGTGACTTCAAAAGTCATCAGAGCTCTGTGGCCAGTAAATGCTCCCCATGCTACAGGCTTGGTCCAGAATGGTACAAGAATGCTTTGTTATTGTGTGGGAGCAAAGGGGTTCCCTGATTCCTGTTCTCTGTGCCCAAGAGGGGAATGTAACTATGGAGTGATGCTTGGCAGAGTCTGCACGTGGCTTGAAGCAATAGCTCCTGACGAGGTGTGGAGTTCCCCCAGTTACACTGCTAGGCAGTGAAGCAGCATAATTATTTCATTGCTAATCATTTTCTCAGACCCACTCTGCTTCAGTTTCCTTATTTCATCATCTCTGTTTTGTCCATTCTTCAAGAGTCAAACAACCTGGTCTCACATCAGCACCCATGTTCTGTGCAGAATTTGCAGTGCAGAGTAGAGGCATCTTGTGAATACAATGTGAGAATCATACTCTTGATTGCAAGTTTGCTTAGAGTCACCTGTTTGCTCTCTGTGGCTTTGAGAGCACAGGGAATAAGAAGGGTGCCTTTTATGCTCCTTCAGAGTTCAGTGGCACCTAGAGCATCAGTTTTCTTTCTAGTTGGGATAGTACCTCGTATACGGTTTAAAGTCATGTTAAACTAGGTGTTGTAGCAAGGTGCTGTAGTGGGTCAGGGTTACAAGCAGTGGGAAGCTTCTAGGGAATAGAGTGCTAAGGTAACAAACGTGTTTCTGGAGTTACCAGCAACTTCAGTGCCATCAATTTTTAAGTAGTCAAAGTCAAATTGAAACCAGTGACTGGTACACACAGTTCCTGCTTGGTTTTCAGTTTGTGGCTGGGGATAATTGGGCATCCATGGTTGTTTCAACAGTCTTTAACTGGTGAGAGAACTGATGGCATCGACTTACTCGGAGTTTAGAGAAGTCCAGTTGATTTCTCTGCCCTAGAACTTAAGGACAAATCAGTCCAGGTTTTTCTTTTGCTTTGCACTGATAAGTTTGTGTCTGTTCCAGCTCCTGAGCTGCCCTTTCCTTTAGAACTTTTGTTTCCTTTATTTGTTTTGTTTCTTTTTGATTTACAGGTCAGACTCCTTTAGGGGATTTGTTGATTACTGCTTACAGAAAATACCTCAGGAAAGGCCATCATCCACAGATCTCTTACGGGTAACTTTTCATGTCTTTTCCAGAAAGTTGGAAAAAAACCCTCTTTGTCTGCCAAAAGCGTTGTACAGATGGGGAACAAATACTTACCCCTTCCAAAAGAAAGATTGGTTGGTTGGCTTTCAGTTGAATCAAGCGAGTTTTGGGGTCTTCTAAAGTGTATTTTGGGCTGAAGTAACTTTGTTTCCTGACTTTGTCTGTTAGGGCAATCACAGTTGTCTTTATAAGGTGATGCTTGAGTCAAACTACTGGGAAGAGTAGAGGTAGGTTATGTGGTAGAACAGAGACACTCTGAGTGACGAGTTACTTGGGGTAGCAGCCCAACACACTGCTCCTGTTACACCCCAGAGATCTGCAGAGCTTATACCTGTGTTAGAGAGCTTGCAAGCCTCATATGGGATACTGCTGTGAGTAACAGGGGGTTTTGGCTGAAGGAAGGACCTGTCAGCATGAGGGGATAGAAGGATTTAATCTTGATTCTTATTTTTTAATGTGTTTTCTTCCAAGACAATCCTGTACATACTTTACCTGAAAGTCTTACCAAGGACAAGCAGGTCCAGAGCTGTGTTAGTTCAATCTGTCCTACAGAAGTGAATTCCAGCCAGTAGTCTCTGTGAAGGCAGGAATGAGGAGTGTGTTTCCTCCTGCCTTGATGAAGGAGGTTTGACCAGCCTCTCTGCTACACTGAGCTGTCATAGGGTGCCCTGAGTTGTGACTGTGCTGCACTATGTGGTCTCTGAAAAAGCAGACAGAAATCAGGGATGAAACTGCAGGTGACCCCATTTGCAGGGCAGAGGGAGTGAGGAAACTAACTTGGTGCAGCCTGTGTGAAAGCCAAGACCCTTTTGGAGCAGTTACACACTTTGGTGTACAGTAATGTAACTACTAACTTGCTAATGTTCCTGTCTATTTATTCTTTAACCCTGCTTACCTTCTCCAGTAAGGAAGAATGTTACTTTTCTCTTGTGTAACAGGCCATGCTTGCTACCAAGCTTATATGTAATTAAGAGTTATTATATTATATATGTAATGTACTACAAGCTTTCTGTGTGGAAGTGATAGAAAACCTAAAAAGTCCTTTTAATTGCTGCTTAAAGTCTAGACTTAACCAGGCTTCACAGGATGCCTGGGCAATAGCAGCTCTTCTGCAGAGCTGGTAGTACTTGGAGCACTGTGTTCCACATGAAGAGAGGATTGGGCTCTTAATAAGGATTTACAGATAGTGGCTGATTATTTAAAGGAACGTGGGTATTAGAGATGGGAAGAGACTGGATGAGTTAAGTTTATCTCCTGGCAATGCAGGATTGTGCTGTGTGGGGTGTTCTGAACTGCCCTGTCCTGTCTTTGGGGGGCTTTTTATAGGGTTCTCTTTTGACAGACACAGGTGATGTTCAGGAAGGTTGTCTTGGCCCTTTTCTCTAGTAATGCTGATGAATTCTTTATTCATACCTTTTGAGTATGTATCTTTTAATGATTCTCGGTTCAGCTTTGCTCTGTTTTTGTAAATCATTCATTTGGCCCCTTCTGATGCACTTTTTGGTTTAGTGGGGGGGGGGGGTGTCTATAGTTCATGTGGCTACATGGGTGCTTCTGGCACTACTATGCAGCTAGTGAGCTGGGACAGGCTGGCTCTGCTCTGTGGTGTTACAGGAGGAGGTTCTGATGCTGTGTTCTTTTGATTGCTGTCTGGTGCCCAAGTCCTGACTGATTTGTTGGTTAGTGCCAACTGTAGATCCCTCCTCATATTACTACTTACCAAACATCCTCTGCATCTATCTTTTTGCATTGTGTGTTTGCAGGCTTCACACTCTTTAAGCTTCTTTGTGGTCATGTAGCATTGCATTTTCATCTGTGTTTCTGGTCTCCATTTTCCAATGATTTTTTTTTTTTTGTCCTAGATGCATTTTGAGCAATTCCTCTTGATTCATTAACATCCTGTAACATGCTTGCTTCTGTTCTCTATTCATATATCATATGTATCTGTTAAAAGTAGCACTAACAGTTTAGGTCCAGGTTAACATCTTCCCCTAATCAAACCACCATAAGCAAGAGTTGTTTATATCCCATTAATAGGTTCTATACTGAACCAAATTAATTAGGATTTGGTTTGACAGTAACTGTGTGGTTTTGGAAAGTGCCTTGTACGGGTTCATAATAGCCAAGAGCGTGTAGGAGGGGGACCTGTGCTGGGAGTGCCAAAGCTTTGTCAGTGGATCATGAACAAGACCCAGTTGAAGTCATTTGGTTTCAGTTTACCTGAGAATCAGAGAATCAGAATGGTTTGGGTTGAAAAGGATCTTAAGATCGTCCAGTTCCAACCCCCTGCCATGAAGTATAGGAGCTGTGTTAGGGAAATTGAGGAGCTGCCTTCCGTGAGAAGGTGGGGATGTGTGAAATCCCATCCAGCCCCTTTTCCATCAGGCTTTAAGTATATCCTTTCTTTATAATGGATGAGTGGTCCTGCTATTCCTCTGCTTGCTGCATGGCACGCTGCTGTTCCACACCAGCCAAACAGGAGTCAGAGTTGCCTTAAACGTCTGAGCAGAGAATTGCTGCTTCCATCGGGCGTTTCGCTTCATTTCCACAGTAGGTTAGACTGCTGCTCAGTGTCTGCCTGACAGCCTTTTCATGCTGATTTCTGTTCTAAGGCTACCGTTCAGCCTTTGTTTTATGGCTTCTCTTGTTGCTCTTTCAGCTCAGTAAAATGCATTTTCATGGATGTTTCTGAGGCTCTTGAGGAGAGAACTCGAAGCCCTGCGCTCTTTACTGAACAGCTAGCTGTGCGCTTGCTTCTGTCCTTGCTTTAAGCCTGGACCACAGGGAATATTTAACACTCAGGCCTTCACTCTCCAGGTAAAGGCTGGTGAACGAGCTCATTTGTTCTCTCTCTTCAGCTCCTGGTGTATTTCTTGTCCTGTGATGCGTTTGTGCTGTGGCACAGCACCAGCGTTTTGTTCGCTGGTTCTGTTTGCAACACCCTGACAATCCTCTGACCAGCTAATAGGTTTGTGTTGTGGCTTTCAGGAATGATTCATTCATGTGGATTGGCAGCCTCTCTGCTCTCTAGGAACAGTGTGAGTTCACTGAAGGATATGATTTCATGAGTACCTTAGGTTGGAGCCTGTACAAACAATTGGGGCCGAGATCTTAAATCATGTATATTCAGTCTTTTTAGTTGGTTGTAGGTTTTCAGAACAGTAGCCAAGATGTTCCCTCATGCGGTAGCTCTCCCTAAAGCTTCTTAGATGAGAAGACTCATGATGGGTTTGTCCTCTGAGGGCTTTTCACTTGCATGCAGTAAATGGGGATAAATCAATTTTTTTGGGGGGGCCACCTTTTCTTAAAGGGAACTGAATTTTAAATGGTGTGTTTGAAAATTAATCCCATTTCAATTCCCTGTCCTGGATGGAACCAGTCAGATGGTTGTAGTGAGATGAAAATGCGGCTGACATTTAAAAATCACAACCAAAAACTCTCGCTAATGGTTTTCACTTTTAAAATTAAAAGCAATTATATCACTTGCATGAAGCACTTTTTTTTCCTCCTGTTTTTCTCAGCTTGCATGACATTCCCAAGAGATTTGTGTGAGTCACTCAGCCAACACAGGATCACAGAATGGTTTGAGTTGGAAAGGACCTTAAGATCATCCAGTTCCAACCCCTGCCATGGACAGGGACACCTCACACTAAACCATGGCACCCAAGGCTCTGTCCAACCTGGCCTTGAGCACTGCCAGGGATGGAGCATTCACCAGTTTCTGTGTGGTTCCTTCTAATACTTGAGTAGTGTTTGAATATGAAGGAAATCCTCTTTCCAGTTAAATGAGTATTTACACTGTTAAAGAATACGCATAACCAAGTAGACCCTGCACATACAGGGTGGATTTAAGTACAGGGTTGTTGATCCAAATGCAATACTGCTTTCTAAATACTATCTATAGTGAGATAAAGGTGAATACCTTTTCTAATCATAAATAAGCTGCAGATTGTTGCTCTTTACAGAGAAATAAATGCTGATTTATCTGCATTGAGGAGCAGAAATGATTCGTTTTGCTTCTGTGTGAAATGATGTTTAGAACTTTGAGCTACAATTCAAACGTCAACACCACCACTGCTAGCAAAAAGAAATGGCTAGACAAGGCTAGCAGCCTTCCAGTATCTGAAGGGGGCCTACAAGGATGCTGGAGAGGGACTCTCCATTAGGAACTGTAGTGATAGGACAAAGGGTAACGGGCTCAAACTGAAACAGGGGAAGTTTAGATTGGATATAAGGAGGAAATTCTTTACTGTCAAGGTGGTGAGGCACTGGAATGGGAGCATTCACAACCAGGGAGGTTGTGAATGCTCCATCCCTGGCAGTGTTCGAGGCCAGGTTGGACAGAGCCTTGGGTGCCATGGTTTAGTGTGAGGTGTCCCTGCCCACGGCACTGGGGCTGGAACTGGATGATCTTAAGGTCCTTTCCAACCCAAACCATTCTGTGGTTCTATAAGGGACAAGCTGTCCCCATTAGCAAAACCGTCTGAATTCATTTAAAAGCAAGAAGTAAGCCTGTGGCATGATACTTTCCATGTTTATTTACAAATCATTGCAAGATCATCAGCTCATCCCTTTGGCTGCTTTGTACACCAGACTCCTGGTCTTAGGTGGGCTGGGCTCATGGAGTGGTTACTCCAGCTACTGTTGGATGTATCAGCTCCTCAACTGGAGGGATGGCCACACATTGAGGGTAGAAATGCTTTTCCCTGTCCTATGAGACCATGGGCACACAGAAGAGCCAGAGTAGAGAGCAGATTTTTCCCCCATTTCTTTCTTTCAATGTTCATGTTTCTAGAAATGTTTCTAGAAGATGTTTCTAGAACATGTGATGTTTCTAGGAGGTGTTTGTGCCTTAAGGCTGTCTCACACGGTACACACTAGGCAACATACCCAACTCTACTGCTACCATGTAGAGGATTGGCAAGTGTATGCTTGGGCTGTCTAATCGAGTCAGAGCTTAAATGGGAAAGCTCTGAGGCTTTCATACTCTGTTGCCAGTTGTACAGCGCAGGAGGATGTGTCTGATAGAGAACAGCTTTTAACTGTGTACTTTAATTCCATTGAAGAATTTATTGTTAAGTCTGCACCTAAAACCTGGGCTTAAAGTCCATCCTTAGCAGTTCCATCCTTAGTACATCCTTAGCAGGATGTACTAGAAATCAGGTAAGAACCTGACTTTATTTTAACTCTGCCTACAAATTATGCTTCAAGTTATATATATAACTAAACCTTGTAGTCTTCTTACTAGTTTTATGTATGTGTTGGGATAGATAGATGTAGGATAAATCTCTGCATGTAGCTTAGGCAGGTAGACTTGCATACTTAAGATTGATCCATCTTTGTCCTTCAAGTGTTTTGTTCATTCTGAAGTCCTTTGTAAGGTTTGAAGCGGCACCATCTTGTACCTACTATCATAAAATCATGGAATGGTTTGTGGTGGAAGGGTCCTTAAAGCTCATCCAGTTCCAACCCCTGCCATGGGCAGCGACACCTTCCACTGCAGCAGCTTGCTCCAAGCCCCTGTGTCCAACCTGGCCTTGAACACTGCCAGGGATGGGGCAGCCACAGCTTCTCTGGGCACCCTGTGCCAGCGCCTCAGCACCCTCACAGGGAAGAGCTTCTGCCTAAGAGCTCAGCTCAGTCTCCCCTCTGGCAGGTTAAAGCCATTCCCCCTTGGCCTAGCAGTTGCTTCAAGTGAATGAACTCAGGAAGGGACAAATCAGCTGCATTGCCTGGAGAGCTCAGAAAACCTGACCCTGTTCCAGACTGTTCCACTGGAGACAGAAAAGTGAACTGGGGAGTCAGGAGTAGAGGGAGCTTGGAAAGGGTCAGCCAGGTCTCTGCCTCTCCATCCAGTACCCAGCTTCTCCATGTTCTTCTCTACACACACATGGGTTTCAAGTAGCAAAGGGATTTTGCCTTCACTTCTCTCTACTCTGCCTTTGGCTTCAGTTCTGTGCTTAAGGGACCTTCTGAACCCAAGATGTTGCAGCCTACACTTCAAACCTCAATGTGTAGCATGATCAGTTTGGTTATTTGCCATAGTGATGAGCACAGTCAGTGTACTCAGTGCTCAATGTGTTTGGGCTCTTTCTTCATGAGTATTAGTAACTACTGAATATGAACAGCCCAATTACTGATCAGGAGCTGTCATTTCAGGTGTCTCAGGTCACTGTGTTCCTGTTTTGACATCAACCATACCTGTGCCATGTCTGAAGTGATGCCTTTTCCTTTCATTCAGCACGATTTTGTCCGCCGGGACCGACCACCGCGGGTGCTCATAGACCTCATCCAAAGGACAAAAGATGCAGTGCGTGAACTGGACAACCTCCAGTACCGGAAAATGAAGAAGATCCTTTTCCAGGAGACCCGGAATGGGCCCCTGACGGAGTCTCAGGAAGAGGAGGAGGTACTCTGAGTTTGTTCCCCCATTTGCACTGTTAGAAGTAATTTCCAGGCAAGTGAGATTTTCCTTAATGGGGCAGAACAAGCACAGCCTAGGAGAGGATGTAATCCTTGTTGTGTTGGAGTATCACCTGGATTGGCAAAGAGACAGCATAACCTGAGTTAGTAGCCCTTTTACTCACTGTTAGCTGTACATTTAATGGCAGCTTTGAAATTCTGGATGTTTTTCAAGTGGTGGCCTTTCTTCTGAAAGCTTTAAGGAAGGAACTCATCTGGAGGGGGAAGAAAGTGTCTCCCAGCCTGTGTGAAGGAGGGTCTGTGACAGCCCGGGCTTTCCTCGCTCATAAGCACAGGCAAGGGCGCTTGGTGAATATTTTTTCACTTGCCATAACTTTACTATAAGGTGATTGGTCTCTCAGGAGCTGAAAAGCAAATCACCAAAATAGTAAGACTTCTTTTTTTAAGTTCTTTAATGTTAAAGAAAAAGGTTAAAGACATAAAATTTAGCTTCAGTTTAAATCTTGTAATAACCAACCCACTTAATCAGTGTGTGATAACTGACACTAACTGTGGCTTAGAGAAGGAAACCAGTCATTTTACAGTGTCACTTCATGCAGGCACATTGGATAAATAAATCTCTGCCTGCTTCTCCACAGACAGAATTGACAGGCAAATTGATGCTTGTATTTCTTTTTGCTCGATATGGCCAGATAATATACAGTGAGATGTCCAAGCTCAGCATATATACAGGGACTTGGTTTTGAGGTTTGTGTATGGCAGTTGTTCCTTTAAACTAGAGCTCTGGTTTAAGAAATGGGTGAGCCTGGGTGTCAGATGCAGAAGGAGGGGACTGACACTCAGCACTGTCCTTCACTTTGGAGGAGATGCCCAGAAGGAGTAAGAACAGCAACCACTGTGATTAAAGCTACAAAGGGCTTCTGTTCTAACCCTCCAGATAGCCAACTTCTAAACCTTAAGCTCAGTTGTGGGATGGGAGGATAGGCAGAGTCCTGCACTGAAACCTTCAAGCTTTCTCTACCCATGTGTGAAAAGCTGTGGGGGGGTGACAGGGTATGAAATCACAAGGCTGTTGATCCAAGCTCAACAATGAAGTGGGATACATGTGGTAGTAGTTGACTTCAAGATGTATTTTCTTCTGTTCTTCCTGTCCCTGCTCCTCAAATAAGGGGGGGAGGAAAGATATTGTATCTCCAGGAATTAACACTAATGAAGCTCACACTACTCTGCATGTGCACAGCATGCTCTGCACTGTTGTTTTTTTTTGTGTAGCCTGAAAGGAAGTTGTATTGCTCATGTTTATCACTAACTTGGCAGTGAAAATGAAACATAGCACATGCTTACATGCTTCAGTTACTACTGAATGGGTTAACAGAAGCTGCTGAGCTGCAAATGCGACAAAACAGTGCCTTGTTCTGCTTCGGGCTTTCTAAGGTGGGAAAGGAGCATTACAAATCTGTAACACTTAAAATATGACTAATGCTTTCCTCAGAGCTCTTGCAAGAAACTTAAGGTCATTTGGAAAGGATTCAAGTCAGGAAGACGGTGTTAAGGTCGGACATGCGATCTCATCCCTGTCCTTTGTGCATATACACTCACCAATTACAGAGCCGTATCCACATCTTGGATGCTTGGTTATTTCTTCTGCAACTGCATATAAGCATCCTGGAAATACTTTAATTCTCATGTGGCCACGTTCTGTATAAAACAGTGCTCTTGGATTTGAAGTACTGCCACACAGGCTCTGATGATCTGCTGATTGCTTCAAAAATAATCCCACAATCAAATTCAGATCTGTCAGTTGGAGCTTTCTGTCAGTGCCCAGCAAAATGAGTTCCCTGTTAAGTGATTTGTAATGTGATTCTCCCCAAGATCACTCTGGAGGCCAGGACAGTCTGGGTGCAGTAGCAGGCCATTCATTTTGGTGAATTGGAGATATTTTGGGCCTGCAGGATGCTGAAGGATGGGTTGACTTCTTGGTCCTCACTGTGAATTCCTTGCAGGCCTCTTCAGTGCCACTAGTTAATCACAGAACTCCATAAATTCTCCTAAATCAGGCCAGATTAAGCACATACTCTGGGATTACTGTGCCTGTATGAGTATGCAACAAGAAAAAAAGCTGCTGACTTCTGATGTTTGCCTGTAGAATCAAAGCTATATATATTTACAACAGTTTCAATGCAGGCTCTTTTGAGTCAGCTGCTTAAAGGTGGATGAAGAATTTATCTTGGCTGAAAACACAAGGCTAAAGGTGTTTTTAGCGTGACAAAATGTAATTGCTGACTGCTTGGGACGTGGAGGTTGAAACCTCTATGCCTGTTAAGCACCATGTGCTATTTATCAAGTAAGAAACCAGATGGATTCATTGTCTTCTGTGTTTTCTGATGCACAAGATGTGTTGTAGCTTATCCTGACTTGGAATATTGTTTTAATACAAACTTAAATCACTCCTTTTAATTATGAGACTCCTTCCACCAGCCATCCAGTGTTCCTGGATCTCTCCTCTTCAAGCCAAAAGCCATGCCCAGACTTACTGATACATGGAAAGAACTGGCTTGAAGCCTGATGCAGTAAGATTACTGGGGAAAAGGCAAAAGCTAACTGCCCCACATGGAGTGTTTCATAACCCAAGCAGCACTGGGAAATGTAGTTGCCAAAATAATGAGCAAAGAACTTGTAACTCTGCAGAGCCACCTCTAAAAGAAACTCTGGCACGTGCTGGGCAGGTGATCTCCTGCAGTGTTTGTAACTGATGCCCTTGTTTCATAGGACAGTGAGCATGGATCAAACCTGAGTAGGAAGATGGACAGTCTGGGCAGCAACCATTCCATCCCAAGTATGTCTGTGAGCACAGGCAGTCAGAGCAGCAGTGTGAGCAGCATGCAGGAGGTCCTGGATGAGAGCAGCCCCGAACTGGTCATGATGCATAGTGATGAGAGCACAATTAATTCCACTTCCTCCGTTGTTCATAAGAAGGTATGTTCTCTGGTGCTCTCTGTAGCTTCCTGCAGTCCCTGCTATGGCTTGTGTTGGCTCGCCTGCATAGGGCCCAGGCATCAGTGTGTTGTGGTCTTGTGCTGAGCCATCTGTTGGGAGCAGGAGCTGGTGTTGGGCTTGCCAGAATCAAGTTCTGTGGTTGTTTTTTTTTCCTGTTTAAAAGCAGAACTGCATTTAAATAACCTCTGAAAGTAAAACAGAGGTCACTAATGAAAGGTAGTGCTCTCAGCGTGTAGGCAGGGGTCACACAGACTTACTGCATGCCTCCTTACCCAGCCCTGCATGTGCACTACTTCACCTCTGCTTGTAACAACAGTCCTTGTTTCCTTGTGAATGATTGTACTGTATTATGTAGTATGGTGACAAGTGGTTGTAGCAGCTAACTGTTTACCAGTCACAATGTATGATTAAAATCTCCTTGCACTTGGATTCCCCTCATGAGAAGTGGAAGTGTGCAGAGCTTTGGACCCTTCCCACGAGGTATGTTTTGGTCAAGTTCCACTCAGTGCCTTTCTGCTACTTTGCTGCATGTTGTGATCTGTTGCCTTTCATTTCCTTAGTGCTAGATAGCAATCTGAAGTCGTCTAGTTGTAAATTGGCATCTAATCTAAGGTCATTGGACTAAAATAGTTTTGGCTTGGCCTTAGTGGTGTCGTTTGCTAGCGGGCAGTAAAATGCAAGTCGTTTGTGTGATTGCATATGCAAAGAGCTTCAGAGTGTACATGTGCTTTTTGCCAGAGGAATTAAAACATTCCAGCAGCAGGAAAAGTATGAATTTCTCATTTGTAAGGTTACAGCGAAGCCTGGCTTTAACTAACAAGATATTTGTAAGCAATTTTTCCTCCTGAAACAGCGTTTGTGTAATTGAATATTGAAATGCTTATAGAAGGGATTACCTTTTTTACCAAAAGCTTCCCTTTCATATTTAAAGATACTGGCAGATCAGCTGCATAGTTCTCAGGGCTTTACATCTTCCTGAAATCCACCTGTAATAGCATTTTCAGAGAGGACTTTATTTCCACCTTTCTGAAGAAAACAGTGTTGAGTCCAAAGTGCCAACCCAACACCATCATAGAATCATAGAATAGTTAGAGTTGGAAAGGACCTTAAGATCATCCAGTTCTAGCCCTGCCATGGGCAGGGACACCTCACACTAAACTATATCACCCAAGGCCTTGTCCAACCTGGCCTTGAACACTGCCAGGGATGGAGCATTCACAACCTCCCTGGGCAACCCATTCCAGTGCCTCAGCACCCTAACAGGAAAGAATTTCCTCCTTATATCCAATCTAAACTTCCCCTGTTTCAGTTTGAACCCTTATCCCATCACTACAGTCTCTAATGAAGAGTCCCTCTCCAGCATCCCTATAGGCCCCCTTCAGATACTGGAAGCTGCTCTGAGGTCTCCACACAGCCTTCTCCTCTCCAGGCAGGACAGCCCCAGCTTTCTCAGCCTGTCTTCATATGGGAGGTGCTCCAGCCCCTGATCATCCTTAAATGAAGAGCAGTGGAACTGATTTGATGTTCTGGGTGATGGTAGCTGGAGCTCCTTCTCATTCTGTGTAGGCTTCAGAAACCCACATTAACTTTGATTTTACGTTGTTAAGTAGTCATATGCATTAAAATAGAAGCTTGAGGGACTGATTTACACAGGAGTCATACATTGTGCTGTTACTGGGTGCTCAGGATAGCTCTGATCAGTGTCATGACAGTTGATGAAAACAAAATGTGAGCCACTCCCATCAGGCATGAATTGTATTTGGGAAAGAAGTAGAGTTCCTGCTTGGTTTAAGGATAGTGTTTTGTTCCATAGTGGTTGTATGACACTTCTAAAGTACAAATACAGGGAGATTTCTGAGGCTACAAACTCAGGCCTCTTCAGCTTCTGCGTAACTGCTGTTTTCTTGAGATTAAGATGTTCAGTTGAGGAGAATGCATCAACATGTCACCACATGGAAGCTTCTGTCAGCTGCTGAAAAAAAATAGGGTCTCCTGCACACTCCAAACCGAAGTATTGTAAAAGAAATCACCTGTAGATCTCTTAACACAGGTTTCTTAGGGTAATCTGGGAGCACAAACCCCAGTTCTGCACTGATGGCCTTTACAAAACAGTTACCAACTGGCTGTGCTTACCAGTTCCTGCAGTGGAGCAGGTACCTTCTCAATTGGCAAATGTTACCTTCCAGCGTGTGGATGTGTAAGGCAAATTTGGACTATGAGTAGCATGATATATTCCAGTCTGTAAACGTGTTGCTTTAATTTAGTGTGCGCTTTCTGTATTTTATTTTATTCTCTCTTACTTTGGGGACTGCCATTTTAAATGGAAAATTGCTTCGTGTATATATTAACACACATGACAGGCCCAAAATGGGAGCAGGACGCTTGAGGGGGTTTAAATACACATACATCCCACCCTGGTTTTAAGGTGAAGTTTCTTATCCTGAAGACATATCACTTTGTGCTTGGTTTAACTGTGGTGGAGCTGCTCCACACAACTTGGTTTTGTTCTAGCAGGTGAGGAGTAGGAAGATTGGTAGCACTCTGGAGCCTAATCCCAAACCAACTGGAAAGAACCTGAGGTTCAGCTTTAACTTAAGCTTTTGATTTGTATTTAATCAGCCTTTAAAGGCTAAAAGGAAAATACTGATTCACACACTTAGTCAACTGTTTGCATTATGTGGGCGTATTGGTGATGATGCTTTGATTTTTGCCTGATGGAGAATAGCATTTGTGATAAATCCTCCATGAAAAGCAGGTACAGTCTCACCCCTTCCACAATACAAAGGCTTTGGGGCAGCAGTAATGCTCTATGTTTCCAAACTTGTACTTAGAATAAAGGTGATGCCTGCCTATCAGCTGAGTAGAACTTGTAGATAGGAAGAAAAATCACTGCACAGAAAGAAAATACTCATAAGGCATAAGTGAATGTGTAGCTTTTTGTATAACCTAGTTTATAGCTATGTCCTAAACTCCTGGGAGGAAGAGAATTGCTATAATGTCTGCTGCTGTGGCATGAAGCCTGCATCTTCCCTTTCTGGAATCCCAGTCCATCCTTAGGATGTTTCTTCAGGAGGATGCCTTAATCACCAGCAAGTTCTTTGCAGGAAGTTCAGGTGCCCAGCTTGGATGAGCTGTCCTCCTATCCTGCTCAGAACTTTTCCTTGCCCCTTTGCAGGTTTCACATTGGTGACCTCCTCCATGTAAGTCCCAATATGATCAGTGTAAGAGCTCTGGTTTTCTAACATTTGTCTTCTGAAGACAGTTAACCGTGCTCCTCCATCCAGGGATCATCTTTCCTATGGACGGACATTCTCATGTCCATCTCCTGTTGAGAGCTAATTCAGCTGTTCAGCTACACAGGTTGAGAACTGAAGAGTAGATTGAAGACTAGATGACAGCTCTAATGCAAACCCAATTGTATCAGAGAGCAAAAAAAGCAAAGACAAAACAGGGCAGGGACTTAACCTCCAAATACACTGTGCTTCAAAGACACATAACCCAGCTTTAAAAACTAGATAGGTATCAGTTAATTCCTCTTAAAGTAAGGATGGAGATTTTGGCTCCCTAAGAGTATAGGCATCAGTTGATGCGTCACAGGTAGTTTGCCATCTGCTTTGTTCAACTGCAGGTACATGTCAGTGGGTGTACAGGTGGCTTCCCAGAACTCCTGTTTCGTTGTCCTAAATGAATATGCCAAGTGGTAAGATTGAGAATGCTCCTCCATTGTGTCCTTTTATTTCTATACAACTTTATACTAGTAAAAAGGTCGTTCTCCTTTAAACAGAAAGCCACTGTGGTATGGCTTTGTTCAAGTGCAATACAGACTTCTTGTAGTTAATTCGGCCTTAAAATGATCACTACTTAAGAGGATGAAATTTGGGCAATAAAAATGTCAGGGAATCATAGAACAGTTAGAGTTTGAAAGGACCTTAAGATCATCAAGTTCCAACTCCCCTGTCATAGGCAGGGACACCTCACACTAAACCATTTCACCCAAGGCTTTGTCCAACCTGGCCTTGAACACTGCCAGGGATGGAGCATTCACAACCTCCCTGGGCAGCCCATTCCAGTGCCTCACCACCCTCACAGGAAAGAATTTCCTCCTTATATCCAATCTAAACTTCCCCTGTTTAAGTTTGAACCCATTACCCCTTGTCCTATCACTACAGTCCCTAATGAAGAGTCCCTCCCCAGCATCCCTATAGGCCCCCTTCAGATACTGGAAGGCTGCTATGAGGTCTCCACGCAGCTTCTCTTCTCCAGGCTGAACAGCCCCAACTTTCTCAGCCTGTCTTCATACAGGAGGTGCTCCAGTCCCTGATCATCCTTGTGGCCTCCTCTGGACTTGTTCCAACAGTTCCATGTCCTTTTTATGTTGAGGACACCAGAACTGCACACAGTATTCCAGGTGGGGTCTCACAGTAGCAGAGCAGAGGGGCAGGATCACCTCCTTCAACCTGCTGGTCACGCTTCTGTTGATGTCAGGGAATCCTCTGATTAAAATCTAGTTTCGAACAAAAAGATGGAAAGAGGATTTTCATAGAATGGTTTGGGTTGGAAAGGACCTTAAGATCATCCAGTTCCAGCCCCCTGCCATGGGCAGGGACACCTCACACTAGCCCATATCACACAAGGCTCTGTCCAGCCTCGCCCTCAACACTGCCAGGGATTACAGTTGATCATCACAAATTCTTGCCCAGTGCCTGTCATACAAACATCCTTCTGTAATCACTGTTGGATGCTGAGTGACTTTGCAAACCCACTGAATTAACCTGCACGTGTCACCTATCACTGCTGTAGGTAACGTGCAGCACTTGCGCTGAGTTGGAGAGGACTCTGGCTCAGCAGCTCTGCACAAGTTACAGCTGAGGCAAAGCTGAGGGTGTTTTCCTCCATACCAACGCTTGTGATTCATACATGCAAAAGATGTTGTTTTTATGAGATGTAAAGGAGATTTAGGTAATGACGGGGTGAGTTTTGGCTCATGTGTGCCAGCAGTGATGATCCCTCACCGACCTTCTGGAATGATGTCAAGCAGGTTGGTGACATGAAGCCTTTTCTTGAAAGACTCCCAAATACTTAGACCTCTCTGTAGATTATCCAGGCATTTAGTGCCATGTGTTAAAGTGAGCAATAGCGCACTGTTGTTTCCCTTGCTCTTTAAATGCTTAGAAGGAAGGGCTTTGCTGCAATTCCATTAAAGTCCTTACTATGGCTCAGAAATTGCCTTTCCTGTTTGTCTAGGAGGCTGGCAACCCTTTCCTGTTAGGGAATCCTCTTGTGTAAACAGTGTTTGTGATGGTTTTTCTTTGGTGTGCATAACAGAAACTGCAGTGTGCAAATGAATGTTGCCTTTGAGGTGGAAGTTGAGATGTTTCAGCTTCGGGATAGTCCAGGGTGGTCGGAGTTTGAGGTTGAGGTCTCTTAATCAGCTGCTGAAGATGATGGGACTCCTTCCTCTGCTTTGTTAACTTGTGTTTGATGCTCTGTCAGTGCAAGGAGTTGCTGCAGCCACATGACGCTGTAATGTACTGGAAAAAAATGTAAATATCAAATGCAGTTTATAGATCTGTCTGCCTGGTTTTGCTGTGATGAAAGAGCCAAAATCCTCATTGATTTTCCCATAGGAAAACAAACAACTCCTATCTACCTACTGAGATGGTTTCTGGTTGCTTCCATAGCTTGCTTGTTGCAGTTGTCCTCTGAGCAGGTACTGTATTCACCTAGGAGGTTTTGTTGAAGCAATGTGTTTGTGTGGGGTGGTTTCCCCCCTAAAATGCCTTGGAACAAGCTACATCATGCTCTGAAACCAAACCCCCAAATTCCCTGCTCAGTGTAATTGTTGAGTGTGATCAGGAAGGAGTCTGGTCAGAATATCTTGAACATAAAATGAAAGTGCTGTTGGCAACATGCTGTTAGCGTTGCTCTTACAAATGCACAGCAGTGGTGCTGAGCAGATCTTCCTCAAGTGCTGTGCTGAGGGCAGGACCTGGTGAAGCCTTTTTTCACTGAGGAGGATGGAAAGATGTGGGGTAGAACTGGCATGGGACTCCAGGGAGGAAAGTCCAGGTTCTTACTCTGTAGACTGACAATGGGGCAAGACTCATGGGTTTGAGCATCTTCCATGTGCGTTGGAAGATGCTCCAACAATGCACCAGCAGTAGCCATTTAAATAGCTAGGTGGCAGCTTTTATATCCAGCTTTTAGATATGCAGGGATTAACTGCCACAGGAACAGGTTTTAGTTATTTGTTTATTTTAGCTTCTTAATCCACAATCCATGCAGGGGCACATGGCGGGGTTTAACTGGTTTTGAGTGATTTGCTCTTTAGCATCACTTCAGTAACTGGAAGCTCCCCCAGTGCTCTGATCAGTGCCTAAAGGGACCTGTGAGAACCCTGGAGAGAGGCTTTGGACAAGGGCCTGTATGGGCAGGCCAAGGGGAATGGCTTTAACTTGCAGAGGGTAGACTGAGCTGAGCTCTTAGGCAGAAGCTCTTCCCTGTGAGGGTGCTGAGGCGCTGGCACAGGGTGCCCAGAGAAGCTGTGGCTGCCCCATCCCTGGCAGTGTTCAAGGCCAGGTTGGACACAGGGGCTTGGAGCAAGCTGCTCTAGTGGAAGGTGTCCCTGCCCGTGGCAGGGGTTGGAACTGGAGGAGCTTTAAGGTCCTTTCCATCACAAACCAGCCTGTGGGTGTTTAAATGTGTGTGTCCAGGTGAGAAGCAGCTGGAAATTGAGGACAGGACAGAGGGAAGCAGGGGCCTGTACAGTGGGAAAGGAGCATCAGTGTGACAGCAGTGTCATGGTAGGGATGCTCCTCCATATCAGCTGGTTTCTCACCATAGGGATTTCTGACTTTACTGGTGTATGCACTGGCATGGCAGGTTGGCAAAGCTGCTTCTACTCACCTTCAAACCCTCAGTGCACAGAGGCCACGAGGGTTGGCGACTCTTTGCCTTCAGACATAGGCACTTGCAGCCTTGATTGTGCACCTCTGAGAGCTGGAATCTTGATTTCAAGTCAGGGAGGATCTGTTTTTTGTTGCGTTGCTTTAGAAGCTTGAGGATGGGAATCACGCAGCTGCCCGTGGCAGATGTGCCACCACTGGTGCTGCCCCATGGAGCCCACGCCGCTGGGCTGGTTGCAGGTGTCCAAAGGCTGCTCCATCCTCAGGGTGTAACCTGTGGATGCGCTGCCTGTTGGCAGTCACCGTTTGAAGCAGGAAGCTGGTGGTGGTGGTTTTCAGTGCCCTTTGTGGTCAGGGTCTCTCCTTTCTGTGCCTGATGAGAGCTTTGTTCCATTGCAGAGCTGGTTTGGCAGATGCAGAGCCGCTCCTCGCGCTGCTGTGCAGCGAGCAGGAGGCAGGTTGTACCGGGAACCGTTCCTGCTAAAACCTGGGAGCTGTTGCTTTAAAAGGGGGGAAAAGAATTAAATCCTTTGTGGGCTGTGGAGAGAAAGTGCTAGAACTGTGCAGGATCATGACTGGAAAGCAGGATCCCTGAGTGGTCACGGAGGCTTTCCTGGTGCTCTCCAGCCTGCCATGCTTTTAGCCAGAATGCTCGTCCTCCACAGCAGATAGCAAACGAGAGACAAAGAAACCCTATTGGGGACGAAGCACTCGGCAAAGGGAATGAGGCAGAGTGTTGCTCTGGTGTTAAAAGGGAACAGCACCTTCTTTGCTAGACATGGGAATCACGTTTGTGCTGGGATCGCTGGGTTGCAGTGCTTGAACCCGACCTCTCCGAGGAGTCCGACCGCTCTGCATCGCTTCCCGCTCCTCCATCCTTTGGGGCTCTGCACCTATGTAACCCTGGAGGGTTAGAGCAGAGCCAGAGCCCCACGCCAGCCCCAGCGAGGGACTCGGAAGCCTCCCGATCAGCTGACGTGCCGAGCCTGCAATGTGTTGCTTATTCATTTCGTACGGTGGGAGCTGCCGGGGCTAGCAGAGAGCTGAACTATGCCTCTCCAACCGCCGCGCTTGTGCAGACAGAGGGGTGAGAGCGAGGCAGCCGCCGCGGGAAGAGCACAGCCGGACTTTCTCCTTGTTTTTATCCATTTCTGCAGGATCATGTATTTATAAGGGATGAGGTGGGCCACAGGGATCGCAGGCCTGAGGTGCGGCCTACCCAGTCAGTGCAGAATCAGGCCCTCCACTACCGGAACCGAGAGCGCTTTGCCACAATCAAATCAGCATCTTTGGTAAGCAGCCACCGCACCCCACCTCCCCTCGTCCCCTCTGCCGCTGCAAACGGGTCAGCGATTCCCTGGCTTTCCTCTCCTAATATGTGCTCTTTCCCTGTTGTTGGCATAGCAACGAGATATTGCACTGAAAGATGCTTTAGCTCTGTGTGTGTGTGAGATGTAAAATGCGATCTCTGTCTCATTTCCCTGTGTGTTTCCAATACGCGCGAGAGAAGCCACCTTCCAGGGTGAAGTTGATATCCCCCATCCTCCACACCCCTTCCCACTTGTCCCTTTTTGTTCATGTGCTTATCTGCATGTGCATAAAGTGTGTCTCTGTGCTCGTGTGGAATCTGCTTCAGTGCCGTGGGGATGCAGATGCCGGTGGGGTTTGAAACAATGAGCTTGCTGCTGCCGCCGCCGCCTGGGTTTTCATTCATTCATTGCTTTCCAGCAGCTCTGGCTGCATTTCTGAGCCGGATCCCTCGGAAGGATCCCTGGGTTGGGATGAGGGAGCGGGGCTGTGGGCTTACAAAGAGGGAGGAGGGGGATGGGGTGAATCCATCAGGATTTGTACTATTGCAAATGTGATTGCTGTGGATGCCTTTGTAGTAGGGAAAGGGGTGTGTGCCGGAAGAGTTAGTTGCCGTGCCGCCTCCCCCTCGGCACGGGCTGCAGTGGGCAGCAGCCTTTCGGCAGCTAAAGGAGTGGAAAATGGGGTTTTAAAGCCAAAAGAGATGTCACGGTCCATAGTTGAGGGTGCTGGGATTAGAGGTCAGATGGACGGGGAGCGGCAGAAAGTACCCACGGCTCGGCCATGGCACTTGCTCAGTGCTATGACATCATCCCAGACCAACCCCGAAACTCCACCAGCAAGCCCTCCCCTTCTTGTCTCACCCTGCCTCGGCGCTGGGGTGTTTCCTCCTCTACCACCATTTCTCCAGCCCCCAAAGCGCTTCCCATTCCTCCATGCACCAGGCACGGTGTGTGCGTGGCTGCGAGCGCAAGGGGAAAAGGCAGCAGCAGTGCCAGGAGCCCAGATTTCCCCTGTGTGGTTTTGCTGCTGATGCTGTGGCATTCGGGGGTCTGGGCAGAGGCTTCCATTTGAGTCCCATCTTTTATTGCAGGTGTACCCCGAGTGCTCCTCGGGCTGCTGTCCTCTGCTCCCCCTTCCCTCCCCAGCTTCAAGAGTGACCTAGAAACGTGTGCATTAGAGGGCTTGGTGCAGCAGACCTGACACAGGCAGGATCCCTGGGCTCTTGGAGACCCTCTGCCTTGTGTGTGTGTTTGTGTGCATGCACCCAGTGCAGTGCCCACACTGCTGCCTGCACTGAGCAAAGAAGTGTCAGATCCAGTTAGGTTGACTGGAGGGAAGAAATGATGAATGACTCAAGTGTTGTACTCCAAATAGATACACAATGAGATGGATAAGTAGATATGCACGTTGAATGTATTCATGTTCTCTTATTCCATGTGGAAAGCTGCTGCACCTTCTTCCCTGCCTTCAGCAGCAGAGTCCATAGCTCCTGTTTTCCTTGAACATGTCTGCTTGGGTGGCTTGAAGGGGTTGCATGGCAAAGGCCCCCAGGGAGCTGATGGGAGGTGTTGCTATGAAGGTACGGACTGTGAGGTCTTCCCGCACCTCTGAGCTCTGGGGAAGGCAGCTGATGTCCCAAGGTCACTCCTGAATCCCATGGCAGCCTCCTGTGGGGCTGGGACTGGGATTGAATTCCCTCCACACTTGGATTTGCTACATCTCTTTGGCTCAGTGAGCCACTACTGCTAAAGAGAGCACTAATACAGGGTGGGGAGGATGGTTGGCTTCCTGGAGAACTTCTCTTCTTTGGGGTTTCTGTGGAACACACTCTGATACAGAGCGTGTCTGGGATCGTGCTGGGAGGGCTTAGGGTGAGCAGTACATGAGCTTTGGGGGGAGAGGGGAATCCCACCCCTTAGCTCGCTGTGTCAGCCAGCAGGCCTCTGGAGAAGCACGTGGGGGTATGTGTCACATCAAAGCTCTGTTGTCCTCAGCCTGTGCTCACACATCCTCTTCCCAGTGCAGAGGGAAGTTCCACAGCACCACCTTGGTGTGCTCCAGGAGGTGTTACCACCTCCGTAGGCTCTGAGGTTGTGTGCTGGGGGAGAAGTTTTCCCTGTGTTCAGAACAGGAATGTTCCATTTGATTTCAGTGACCCTTGTGGTGGGCCTTCCCTTTACTAACTTTCCATTCCCACCTCTTTGTGTTCCAAAATGGAAATCTAGGGGGGGAAGCTGACTTGAAACCTATTGCCCAGGAGATGAACACCACCAGGGTCCATCCTGGGATTGAGTGCTGATGTGGCTGGCTCACACTTTACCACCATGCATTCAGTACTGGATGATGCTGGTGGGCTTCTCCCATGCCCGCCCCCTTAGCACCCATGGAGAGGTAAGGGCAGCCATGATACAGGGACCCAAATGCGTCTGGAATTTTTAGGTGAGACCAGGAATTCAGGCTTTGTTTACCTCTCTGTGTTAATTTACTCTTTCAGCAGCATCTTGGAAAGAGTAATCCTGTAGGAATGTGAGCTCCAGAGCCCACAGTGTTCAAAGCTAAGCAAACCAGCATGTCCTGGTGTTCCCAGTGTTGTTGCTGCTGACCATCAGTTGGTTCCTCAGCAACTGGGTGCTGCTTCCTGGCCACAGATAGGGTATGCAGCTGAGAACATCCAGTGATTTGTGTTGCAGAGAATCAGAAAGTGGGAGTTCTGGCCCCAAATTCAATAGTATGGAGTAATATTTGGGTGGAAAAGCTTGTGTTTGTGGGACTTGCTGAACACCACCCCTCAACATGAGAGCAGGGAAAAGCACTGAGGTTAGGGGCCGGGGCTGTGCATGTTGCTGTTCTTACTGGTGGAGTCCAGAGTCTTAAATCCTTGTTATTCCCCCTTAGATCAGGATGCTGCAGAGGGGGGAGAGGCTGCATTGCTGGAAGGATGCTCTCAGCTCCGAAGCTGAGTCTCTTTCCAAAACCAAGCTTGAGTAGTTTCTGTGAGTGCAGGGGTCACAGGAGAGCTCCATCAGAAGCTCTAAACTGCACATGTCCCAGTGATTTTTAAGTGTGATTCCGCTGCCCTGTTGCTCTGCAAAAGCATCATGTGAATAATAAGGGAACTGGACAGAATTCCTGATGAAATAATGAAATAAGGTGGGAATGTTCTTGTCTTTCAGTGATGCTTTGGGGTTACTCGGGTTAAAACCAATGATAATGGCAAAATGAGCACATGCAGCTAAGAAAGCTGAAGAAGCTTACCTCTGGTCTTCATTCAGGCAACAGTTTTAACAGCCACTCTTTTCTGGACCACCTTTCTCTGCTCTTTGTGCAGACCAGCGTCCCCTCCCCTCTTATTTCTCCTTGTTTTATGGCACTCCCGTGGCACTGGTGATCATCACTCCCTTGGAACAGTGGTGGAAAACCTGCAGCATGTTCCTGCTGTTGCAGGGGAAGTTGCTGTCTGAAATGGAGATCAGGTACCTGCTACATCTCCATGGTTTTTTGCAGACTCTCATCCACCCATTGTAAGCTAGAAACTAGAAATCTAAGCCTTGGAGCTTAAAGAGTTGTTGAGAAGGAAAGGTGCAGGTTCTTCTGCATGGTAAGACTGCACCTCTCGATGTCTTTAAGTGAAAGGTGTGTTGTAAATAAGTGCAGTTTCTGGTTGTCTTTCATGCTTTGACCCCTTCACTCCCCAGTACCTCCTCATGTGTTTCCTCAGTAGCTGCTTTGACAGTTCTCAAATGAAATGATCTCACAGTTGACATTTCATAGAAAGATCAGGTATGGGGGACTCTACCAAAGGCCTTGGCATCCTCTTTGACATCCACATGCCAGCAAGAGAGTTATGTGACCTCCTCCAGCACCCACAAAGCCACATGTCTAGGTCGGTGTGAGCAGGTCCCTGACGAGGTCTGACTCCATAACCAGGTACATCCACATGATGGCTGTGCTCTTGCACCCTCTCCTGCTGAAGCAGTGACACTTTATTCCAGATGGTTGAGTTTCTCCCAATGGACTCCTCTGGCTGCTGCCTTCATAGGGCTCTAAAGGTACTGAACTTGTTCTTTCTCATCTCAAAGTTCTTCTCCTGCTGTGAGAGGCTGCTGGAGGCGTCTCACTCCGTGCTCTGCTTCATCCAGCAAAGAGGAGCTCAGTGTTTCGTTTGGTTATGGAGAGGTGAGAGCAACCATCCTATAGGAAAGAGGTCAGTATCCTGGTTAAACAGTGTAGGGAAAGGAGCTCTGAGGAGCTGCTGGTTTGAAGAAGCTAAACTCAACTTCCTTACATAAAGCAAAACTCTGGGAGAGGTGGAAGGGAGGAAGTTTGGATTTCATGGCAAGTGAACTGCCTGTGGGAGTTGATTGGAAAAGACATCTCTCTTCTCAGCTCTGTGTGTGCCAAAGACAGAGAGGTAAGGAGCTGAGAAGACGTCATACCTCAATAAAACCCCTTCTGTTTGGTACAGATATTTTGGGTCTGCTGATAACCTGATGGATTATTGCATGCTGCAGATAGAGCTGCAGGGTTCTGCTTCAAAGCATCCCAACATTTTCCTGGTGATGTGGACAGCATATGTGCAGTGAGCAATTCCATTGTCGTCTTTCCTTTCCGTGATAACTGCTGGGATTATGTTTGTGAAAGACTTCATCAAGTTCCAAGTACCTTTGTCCAAGAACAAACTGGACCACTGGAACTTACCCACATGCTTTCTAACATGGTTGCTCCAGCTGTTCAGTCATTAGGGGCTTAATCTTTACCCCCATAGTTCTTCATGTGCTGCCATGCTCAGTCTCAAGTACTTCTCTGGCACTGAACTGCTCATATTCAGTCACTAAAGTTAATTTCTCCCAATTTCCTCCATGCCCTGAGATCATCATCTGGAGAACTTGTCCCAAGAGATGGAGCTCTGAACAGTCTTGGTCTTGATTGGAGATTATGGTGATAAATGAGGTCCATAGCTGAGCATGCTGAACGCAGACATTACATCTGCACCATGTCCACCGAGTCTCCTGTTCTCCTTCTCGCCTGTCTTTGGGAATGAAATGCTGCTTTTGGTTTTCCTTTGGCTTTTTCACGTCCCATCTTCTTCTGTGACTGGCAAGTTTTACCAGCCAGTGTTACACAGAGTAATTGCATCCTATTGCTGGAGATAAATATCCCAGACCGAGTGTGAAACCTTTCAAAGGTGGAATTCTTGTCATGGTAGGGATGAGCAAAACTGGAAGCGAGATACACATTTTGGAGCAGCCAAGGCCAGCAAGGGTAGAAGCTGAATGATGTAAACAAGAAGTGCACATTCTAACTCCCATCAGAGATGAGGCCAAAGGGGAGAATGGCAGAGTCACTGGTGGGTTCTTACGTTCAGTTTTTCATATGCTCTCGCTGTTTGCTTTGTTCTGCCAACGTCTTGGGATGGAGCGTGCCCTGCAGGAGGTCCCGTGGATCACAGAATGGCTGCAGACATGCACAGGAGGTCTCATCCTGCTGCATGGTGCTTACCACGTCTCCATGTCCCCGACCAAGGCAGTTCTCTCCAAGTCACGTCTCATTCAATATAGGAAAAGGCATTTGGAAGTGCTGGGGGTTTGCCTTGTCCTGGATGACTTCTCAGAGGAGCTGTCATTGGCCTGGAAGCTGCTGGCAAAGATCTTACTCTTGCTGAACTTGACTGAAATGTGTGAGTTCAGGACGGGTGTCACTGGTTGAGCTACAGCAATACACAGGGCTAATGCTGGGTGTGCGTGCTGCAGTCACTGCTACAACTGACTTACCATGGTATCTGTCTTAGATCTGTTTAATTACCTTGTCTCAAGCATTTGAAGGCTGCTGTCACCAGAGGTGTAGGTATGTATTTAACCCAGCTGCCTTCAAAACAGCATCCCAGCATTCCTTGTACAACGAGGATGTGATCAGTCCATGTTTGACTTTGCTGGTGTGGTGAACCCACCGTCATCCCTTCCTGGTGCTGGAGTCAGACGCAGCACTGGAGTCAGTCAGACGCAGCACTGGAGTCAGGCTTTGCAGTCAGATGTTCCCTTTGCTCTCTGGGGTTGTCTTTGGATGGAGCAGAGGGAGGACAGAGCCTGTCCAGTACCTTCATCCTTTCACCTCTTGTTTCTGTTCTGGACTCCGGCTACGGTCTTGGTTGGTAACCATTTACTGTGAATTGCTGTTAACCTGTTTCAAGGTGAAGGCTTTGGAAGGCTCTTCCTCACCTCTCTTCACACTGCTCCCAAGTGCTGGCAGTCATCTGAGCTGAGGCAGGAGGCAGCATCTCAGCATGCTGCCTGCCTTGGGTGAGCTTGGCTGTTGGAGCTCTTGATTGCTGCTGCCTATCAGACACTGGTGCTGAAGCACAGGGCTGCTGGTGAGTGTTGAACTTGAGGTCTGTGGGTCCATCCCATCCTGCATCTGGACCTCGAAGAGCTCTGACAAACAGCCTCCCAATGCCTGTGGTAGGTGCCAGTTCCTTCTCTGGGCTCTCATGGAAGGCTTTTGCAGGTCTGTTGGCTCATAAAGTTTCAGTGATCACCCTCAAAGGGCTGAGCTCTTCACTTCACACTTAAGTGTGAGAGGAGAGACCCCCACAGAGTCAGGGGCTGCAGCTCTGCACATGTTCTGTGGCTCCAGCTTTTGGCTCCCAGGACTCTCACGCAGGAGATCAGATCTTTATACATGAAGTTCCTGGCGCTGCATGAAAAAGAGAACCCCGTTTTGGCCCCTTTCCTTCTGGAGTGGGAGCATTCCCATTCAAACTCCTGACCATTCTTGGCACAACTTAACTGGATTTTTTTTGCCTTCCTTTCACAAGGCCACACTTGGGCATGGAAATGAACATGGAAACTTGTGAGTTTGGTTCAGCTGAGCAGGGTTTAAACCCTGCTTAAACCATCTGATCAGTCCTGTTCAGAGCACGCAGCTCCAGGACGGTGCTCCCATGTTAGGAATCTCCCTGTTCTGGTAGGGAATGAGCTCCGCTGCCATCTTCTTGGATTTTAAGAAGCCATTTTTTAGGAGGAGTGCAGGGGATGGGTATTGAGGGACTGACTTGGAACCGTGGGAGGGGTCTTGGAATGGATGCAGACTTTAAGTCCATGTCACCCTCAGGATGCCAGTCTGGGTCCACAGAAGGCTGTCCAGCAGCCACCTCTGTTTCCAGATCTCCTCTGGTGTCTCCAGCAGTGATCAGTAACCTGCTGCTTCCTTTAGTTGTGCCGTGGCACTGAAAACACACATGGAATCCATGGGGACAAGACAGGGGTAAAGATCAGGAGAGGGAAACTGCAGTGGCCTCATGGGTGATGTTGAACAGCAGCACCCTCTGACACCGGGAACAGCTGGTTCCTTGGGTCGGGTTTGCAGGTAGGCAGTGGACATGGAGCCCCCGTGTCCGTGAGGAAGGCCGTGTAGCACTTGTCCCCTTTTCCCACCGTCAGGTTACAAGACAGATCCATGAGCATGAGCAGGAGAACGAGTTGCGGGAACAGATGTCAGGATATAAGCGGATGCGGCGCCAGCACCAGAAGCAGCTGATCGCCCTGGAGAACAAGTTGAAGGCCGAGATGGACGAGCACCGCCTCAAGCTGCAGAAGGAGGTGGAGACCCATGCCAACAACTCGTCCATCGAGCTGGAGAAGCTGGCCAAGAAGCAAGTGGCTGTGATGGAGAAAGAGGTGAGGAGGCTCCTTAAGCGTACCTGAAGGCAGGGGGAGAGGGGTGAACCAGCGCTCTAAGAGAAGGCAGTGGGCGTACCGCTTAAAGCTCCCTGCATGGTCTCTGTGTGGAGCTGCCTTGGCCAGTTCCATGCAGGAGCTTCCCAGCTCCAAGCCTCGTGGCTCCATGGGCACTGACTGATGCTGCAGCCAAGCGATGGCTAAAAGAGGCTGACAGGCCCTGTGGAGGCCTTGGAGGGAGCTGCTGCCTCCTGGCTGAGGACAGGTCAAAGCTTGCTGCTGTTAGTGGGCCTGTTTAAAACTCATCGTGTGAATCCATATGGTAAAGCAGTGGGGTTTCACCCTCTGGGCTGGTTTTGGTGCAGAGAGGCAAGAAGCATGAGGGAACTCTTAAAGGCATGTGGGCATTATGGGGGTTTTGTGCAAGCGGCTTTCATGCGGCTGAATACTCGTGTGGCTTTGTCTAGCACAGTGCTGGGAGAATGGCAGCCCATAAAGCACCACAGAGCACTGATTTGGGCTGGATTCCTGACCTGCTTCCTCACCCTTTGTGGTTTGTTCCTCTTTTCCCCCCCCCCCCTCTCTGTGCCTTGCAGGCAAAGGCAGCTGCAGCAGATGAAAAGAAATTCCAGCAACAGATTTTGGCTCAGCAAAAGAAAGACCTGGCGACCTTTTTAGAAAGTCAGAAGAAACAATACAAGCTTTGCAAGGAGAAGATTAAAGAGGCAAGAAACTGTCATTTCCAGGGCTGATGGGGTGTGGAATGAACATAAAGCAGCTTTTCCTTCTGATAGACCTGGGCCAGCCCAGGGGTTTAAGGGACACTGTCAGGCTTGGAAGCAGATTTAGGTTCCTGAACCAGTCTGTGAGTGTGTGCTGGAGGTGCCTTCACACCCTGCTGTAGAGCAGGAGCTTTGGAACCAAGAGGAAATAGGACTTCACAGGATTCTTCCTCCCCTTTTTCCTCATCTGCTTTTGGGGGGTTGAGGCTTTTCTGCTCAAGCTGTAAGTGAAGAGCACCCATTCGGGTGCCATTTGTTTAATGGTCACTTACAGGAATCAGACAAAGTAGTAACTAAGTTTATAGCTTATCTGTCCAAAACTGCATCACTGAAGTCCCGCATCCCAGCACACACACAAATCACTTGCTGTTCAGAGCATAAAGGTAAGCAATTGAACAGCAAGGAGCCCCATTGGGTACCTGCTTCAATAGAGAACTGAGCATGAGTCCTGCTGAAATAAAGCTGAAGCCCAGCTGGGCTCCTGTGTAGAACAGGGGCAGAGAAGGGAGGGGAGCCCCTGGGGCTGACCCAGTCTCTTTCCTGGACAGCCAGAGGGTGCTGATGTTGTTTTGCTGCTGCCCCTGGGATGTTTAATGGGCACTTCCTCCTCCTCTTGCATTCGAACACAGCTCTGGAGGCAGCAGGGCTGGGCATGGCCAGGGATGAGTCTGGTTCTGGTGATGTAGTTGGGGTTTTAGTGTCCTTTCATGACCAGAGGAGAGGCAGTGAGCGAAGGTCTCAGTCCTGTGTCACTGATCCTGAGGGAAGTCTTCTTTTGCGGCAGGAAATGAATGAGGACCACAGCACGCCGAAGAAAGAGAAGCAGGAAAGGATATCCAAACACAAGGAGAACCTGCAGCACACACAGGCTGAAGAGGAGGCCCATCTTCTCAGCCAGCAGAGACTCTACTACGACAAAAACTGCCGTTTCTTCAAGAGAAAAACCATGATCAAGAGGCACGAGATGGAGCAGCAGAACATTCGGGAAGTAAGGCATTCCTCCCTCCCTTCCCCACGCACTGCGGCTAGGGGTCAGCTTCACGGCTGCAAAGCATGGGCATGAGGTTTTGGGGGGATCCTTCTGTCACAGCCCAGGGCACCCAGGTGCCACCCAGGGGGGAATGGCTGGAAAGGTACCATGGGAGGGAGTTGTGCTGGGTGGCTGAAGGGCACTAACGCAGGTGAAAGGTGTGCTGAACCAGTGACGGTGTTAAGGGTGCAGGAGGAAGTGTCAGAAATACCAGTTCAGTCCTGTGTGTCTGCATCTGTCACCCTCAGGTAACGAGATCTTCCTTTTCCACTGGGCTCTGCTCAAGTTGGTGCACAGAATGGGGATAGCTTTTAATGGGAAGCTGTTCACCATCCTGCTTGCATTCCCCCTTGCCTCAGTGGCTGCCTGCACTCAAAGCACACCTTGGAGAAGGAATTGTCACTTGTAGTGACACCACGATAGTGTCTCAGTTCTTCATTAATGTTAGCTTTGGATAAAGACTGTTCTAGTGAAGGCTGAGAATGAGTGAGTGTCACAAGCCTCTCATGATCGTATACTTGGTCTGCCACCATCCCATTTGCCTGCATACACCTAACACTGCCCTGCGTTTTACCTGCTTGGAGCTATCCCATCCTGACATCAGCTCAGACCCCCTGAAAATGAAGGACTCTGCAAAGTCAGACTCGGGCACCCTTATCGCAGTGTGTAAGCCCTGTGGCAGGGATGAGAACAGAATGCAGGTACCTGCCATGTGTTTTAACCAGGAAACACTCCCCTGAGCTCCTGCACTGAAGCCCTTCAAAGACCTGATGTTCACAGTGATCCAAGTGTTTTATTTCCTGGAAGTAACACCCCTACTGACCCGTTTCAGCTGGATCAGACACCTGAAGTAAATCACAGCATCCCAGACTGGTTTGGGTTGGAAGGGACCTTAAAGCCCATCCAGTTCCAACCCCTGCCACAGGCAGGGACACCTTCCACTGGAGCAGCTTGCTCCGAGCCCCTGTGTCCAGCCTGGCCTTGAACACTGCCAGGGATGGGGCAGCCACAGCTTCTCTGGGCACCCTGTGCCAGCGCCTCAGCACCCTCACAGGGAAGAGCTTCTGCCTAAGAGCTCATCTCAGTCTCCCCTCTGGCAGGTTAAAGCCATTCCCCTTGGCCTGTCCCTACAGGCCCTGATAAACCCCAGACCATTTTGAAAGCCTTTTTTTTCTTGCTATTTTAAGCAATCCCAGAGGTTCTTCCTGTGGAAAAGTGTTCTGAGGGCAGTGCCCCTCTCTGTTCCCACTGTGTGAGCTGACATGGTGTTCCCATGGGGATTGGCACACGAGAGGAAGCTGCCCTGCCTTAGGTGAAGGCATACAAGCCGTATCTCTCCCCATGGGCTGCCTGTCCCTTGTGCCTCTGTGTGAGCAGGGATCCATTCCAGCACACCAGCAGGTCTCATTTACGACCCAAGGTGTTGTTTTGCTTAAATGAAACGTGCAACATCCTCATAGCTGAGAACAGGGACAAGACCTGGCCCTGTCTCCTTCCCTGCCCTCCTCCCTAAACCTCTCACAGGCACAACAGCCACACGGGCTGAAGAGCCTGCTTGCAGGTGCTGTTGGTGTTGAGGGTTACAGCAGGATGACAACATGCAAGCAGCAACTGGGAGCAATTAGAGAAGAGATTCAGAGCAGCCCTGTGGGGAAGGACTTGGGGGTGCTGGTCGATGAGAAAATGAACATGAGCAGGCAGTGTGCACTCACAGCCCAGAAAGCAACCGTATCCTGGGCTGCATCCAAAGGAGCGTGACCAGCAGGTCGAAGGAGGTGATCCTGCCCCTCTGCTCTGCTCTTGTGAGACCTCACCTGGAGCATTGTGTGCAGTTCTGGTGTCCTCAACATAAAAAGGACATGGAACTGTTGGAACAAGTCCAGAGGAGGCCACGAGGATGATCAGGGGCTGGAGCACCTCCTGTATGAAGACAGGCTGAGAAAGTTGGGGCTGTTCAGCCTGGAGAAGAGAAGGCTGCGTGGAGACCTCATAGCAGCCTTCCAGTATCTGAAGGGGGCCTATAGGGATGCTGGAGAGGGACTCTTCATTAGGGACTGTAGTGATAGGACAAGGGGTAATGGGTTCAAACTTAAACAGGGGAAGCTTAGATTGGATATAAGGAGGAAATCCTTTCCTGTTAGGGTGCTGAGGCACTGGAATGGGTTGCCCAGGGAGGTTGTGAATGCTCCATCCCTGGCAGTGTTCAAGGCCAGGTTGGAGAGAGCCTTGGGTGCCATGGTTTAGTGTGAGGTGTCCCTGCCTATGGCAGGGGGGCTGGAACTGGATGATCTTAAGGTTCTTTCCAACCCTAACTATTGTATGATTCTAATTACACCTTTATTGGCTTGCACTCATTAGACTGAGCCAGCACGGGGCCTTCCCTGTGCTGGGCACTGTGTGTGTGCCAGGCCTGTCCTGTGTCACTCCATGAATACATGGTTTGTGAATACTTCCAGGGATGCTGAGTCCAGCACTGCCCTCATCCTTGGCTTGCAAGGAAGGGTTTCCTTCCCCCATGTGGTGAGCTGGGGCTCTTCACCTCTGCTTTGGCCATTCCAGTACTAGTGATAGGAGGGAAGCCTCATCTCGCAGTGCTTCCCAGGGGCTTGGGTGATTTACAGCAGGCAACCAGGACCCCCCCCAAACAAATACATCATGCCAGGATGTGTGTGTTAACAACTGCTGACCCCCAGCAGTCACAGAGGGCTCATGTGTGGTCCCAGTGCCACCTGCTGGAGACTCCCTGGGGCAGCCAGGAGCTGGTTACAGGGATGGATGGATGGATGGATGGGATGGATGCATGGGTGCATGGATGGATGGATGGATCATACAATCAACCAGGTTGGAAAAGCCCTTTAAGCTCATCCAGTCCACTCTTTACCCCAGCACTGCCAAAGCCACCCCTAACCCATGGCACTGAGGCCTCGTCTCCACGGGGTGTGAACACTTGCAGGGACAGTGACTGCAGCCCTGCCCTGGGCAGCCTGTTCCAATGCCTGAGCACCCTCTGGGGCAGGAATTGTTCCTCAGCTCCATCTAAACCTGCCCTGGGGCAGCTTGAGGCCGTTTCCTCTTGTCCTACCGCTTGGGATGGACAGACGGATGGATGGATGGATGGATGGATGCATGGGTGCATGGATGGATGGATGGATGGATGGTGGTCACTTCACCATTCCCATCGTGCTGCTGGGTTTGTTTCCCCATGGCACATGGAAGCCCTCGGTGTTGTCTATAGACACCAGCTCCACAAACCCTGCCACTGCTGAGCTCTCTCCCTGTGTCCCGCTCTGCGCAGGAGCTGAACAAGAAGCGGACGCAGAAGGAGATGGAGCACGCCATGCTGATCCGGCACGACGAGTCCACGCGCGAGCTGGAGTACCGGCAGCTGCACACGCTGCAGAAGCTGCGCATGGACCTCATCCGGCTGCAGCACCAGACTGAGCTCGAGAACCAGCTGGAATACAACAAGCGGCGGGAGCGGGAGCTGCACAGGAAGCATTTCATGGAGCTCCGGCAGCAACCAAAGAACCTGAAGGTGCCGGAAGCTTCCCTTCCTCCTCTGCCAGTCCCTGGGCCTGCTGCCTCCTGCCTGGCATCCCTCTCCTTTGCACAGGGCCTCGCTGGTGTGAGGAAGTTGTGAGCTGTTAGAGCAAAGAGCTCGCTGAGGGCTTTTAAGTGCTGTGTTGATTGAGGCTGCTGGGTAAAAATAGGCTCATCCCCAGCAGATGGTTCAGTGTTTGCTTCTGGTGAGCTGCGTTTTCCTCAGGCCCTGCTGCTATCAGCCTATAAACCTTGATAGGGAGTGGGGCTGGGGGATGCTTCCTGCTTTCAAAGGGAAGAGAGAGCATGGGTGTGCTGCGCGCTGTGCTCTGTCCCAGCCTGGCTCCAGGTGGATTAGAGCCGTCTGAGCTGCTTGTTGTGGGGATGTCTGTTCCTCCTGTGAACACCCCAAAGGCACACTGCTTCTGTCCACTTGTCTCCCCCTCACCGGCTGTCAGCTCCACACGCTGAGGTGGGGGGACAGCAAAACGGGAGGCTTTGGGGAAGGGAACACTTTTGGAGGGCAGGAGGCAGGGTGATGGGCTGGGACCCAACCCACCCATTGGGATGTCCGGGAACCTCTCCATTCCCAACTCTCTTCACACCATTCCTTCCTTGGCAGGCTATGGAAATGCAGATCAAAAAGCAGTTCCAGGACACATGCAAAGTGCAGACGAAGCAGTACAAAGCACTGAAGAATCACCAGCTGGAAGTAACTCCAAAGAGTGAGCACAAGACAATTCTGAAGAGTCTGAAGGACGAGCAGACGAGGAAGCTCGCCATCCTGGCCGAGCAGTACGAGCAGAGCATCAATGAGATGATGGCCTCACAGGCGGTAGGTGCAGCATCCTGGGCAAGGGAGGGGGGCTGACGGATGTGGGTACAGTCAATCCATCCATCCCTGCAGCACGTGGCGTGGTTGGGTTGGTAACAACTGCTTTATAGTGCACCAGGACACACTGTCCCCTTGTAACAAGCACCTCACAGAACACACATCCATTCCCAGCTGGGGATTTAGGATTGGGTCTGCTCTGAAGCTCCTGCCTCTGTGTGTGTGGTGGCTGCTGTTATGAAGCCCTTGCTGCCTTCCTCTGCTGGCACCAGCACCAGAGGCTCTGGTGCTGAGAAGGAAGGGGCACTCCGAGAAGGCAGAGCTGCGTGTCCCTGCTGTCGGAGCAGGGAAGTTACACGTGGAGATTCCAACGTTGTTTTCCCGACGCTCCCACAGCTGCGGCTGGATGAGGCCCAAGAAGCAGAATGCCAAGCCCTGAGACTGCAACTGCAGCAGGAGATGGAGCTGCTCAACGCGTATCAGAGCAAAATCAAGATGCAGACAGAAGCACAGCATGAAAGAGAGCTCCAGAAGCTGGAGCAGCGGGTGTCGCTGCGCAGGGCCCATCTCGAGCAGAAGGTAAGGTCCCGGGGTGCCTGGCTGTGGCCGTGGGGTCGGGGTGCTGGTGCTGTGCTAAGGGGCTGCCTCCTCTGCTTCCCGCAGATCGAGGAGGAGCTGGCAGCCCTGCAGAAGGAACGCAGCGAGAGGATCAAGTTTCTCTTGGAAAGGCAGGAGCGAGAGATTGAGACGTTTGACATGGAGAGCTTGCGGATGGGCTTTGGGAATTTGGTGACGTTAGAATATCCCAAGGAGGACTATAGATGAGATTAGATTGCTTTATGCCATTGAAAACACACACACACACACACAAAAAGACAACAAAAAAGAGGTAAAACCAAGTAAGGAGCAAACGTGCAAACCCAACATTCCCCATGTCACCGGGAGTGCTCTCTCTCTTTCTGTCTCTCTTCCTGACATCGTGTCGGACTTAGTGCCTGTATCTCCTTCCGCCACCGGGGCCCGTGTCCCAGCCCGGTGCAGGACAGCTCCTGGTGGTTCTTCTCCATAGTATGTCCCAGTATTGATGTCTCTGTGCAATGATTCAAAATGTGACAATTTTAATGGCAAAAAAAAAAGCAAAAAACCCACAAAAAAAAAAAAAGGCTATAACCCCCCCAACCCCCCCCCCAAGTGGATGTTTGTTGCTTTTGAGCAATCACTCATTTTACCACCGATCGATGAAAGTACCAAGCAAAAAAGCACCCAACTCGATTCTAATGGTAAGCTCCAAGCCCAGGGGGAGAGAGACAAATCCGCAGCCTTACCTGAACCAGCTGCTGCATAATTTAATTTTAGTCTTTATTTTTTTGGTATTTATTCATCAGGAATAATTAAATAATAAAAATTTTATTAAAGATTGAAAAAAAAAAACAAAAAAAAAA